AGTTCTTGCTGAAGCTCAAACGTGCTGCGTAACACAAGAATTAACCTCATTAGTTCTTGCTGAAGCTCAAACGTGCTGCGTAACACAAGAATAACCTCATTAGTTCTTGCTGAAGCTCAAGCGTGCTGCGTAACACGAGAATGAACCTCATTGGTTCTTGCAGAAGCTCAAACGTGCTGCGTAACACGAGAATGAACCTCATTGGTTCTTGCAGAAGCTCAAACGTGCTGCGTAACACGAGAATGAACCTCATTAGTTCTTGCAGAAGCTCAAACGTGCTGCGTAACACGAGAATGAACCTCATTGGTTCCTGCTGAAGCTCAAATGTGCTGCGTAACACAAGAATGAACTTCATTGGTTCTTGCAGAAGCTCAAACGTGCTGCGTAACACGAGAATGAACCTCATTGGTTCTTGCAGAAGCTCAAACGTGCAGCGTAACACTAGAATGAACCTCATTGGTTCTTGCAGAAGCTCAAGCGTGCTGCGTAACACGAGAATGAACCTCATTGGTTCTTGCAGAAGCTCAAGCGTGCTGCGTAACACGAGAATGAACCTCATTGGTTCATGAAGGGGGGTATGGAGGAGAGAGACACATGAAGGGGGGTGTGGTTCATTACACATGAAGGGGGGTATGGAGGAGAGAGACACATGAAGGGGGGTGTGGTTCATTACTCATGAAGGGGGGTGTGGAGGAGAGAGAAGCATGAAGAGGGAAGTTAGAATTATAACTGTTTAAGTTTGATATGGCCGACACACAACCAAAGAGACGACGTTCTGATGAACAGATTGCAAAGAAGAGGGAAAAGGAGAAGGAACGCGCAAAGTCCCGAATTTACATTGGAAAAGTCTTTGAAAGGTGGCGAGAACTCCGCCGGCAGAAGGGCTTCCAATCCGACATCAGGTAGCTCTGTTTTTGCTGGACAGGTGGGTAAATCCAGTTTGGTTTTTCTAAATGGACTTTCATGTTCGCCTAACAAACACAAGGATATAATTAGCTAGAACAATGCAGTCAGCGCTAACTTTGGTGAATACAACATATAGGTTTCTAGCAGCTAGCTATCGATCTCTATTGTAAATGATCAAGTGAAGGAGGAGGGAGGTAGCCTGGCAAGCCAGACCTAAATCAAGATGTTAGGTCTGGGAACTCACAATTGGCATACCTCAATCCGAGGGGCGGGATAAACGGTTGTCTTTCAATATCCCTCGGCACGCAATAGGACAGCGCTACAACCAACCAGAGCAACGAACGGATGAGTGAGTCCCATGCGTTTTTCCACCAGTGAACCAGCTAGTTGGTATATTAAACTTTTGCCATATCCGGTTGTCAAAACTCTGAACACATCTTCCTTTTTTAGGAATGACTTAAGTGACGTTCTCTTAACTCCAAGTCCTCCAGAGTCGCGGCCAAAGCCGATTCGAAAGACCGCTGTTCGCCAGCAGCATCTTCTTTGTTTTCAAGCAGAGGGAAATCACCTATGGAAATCACGCGGAACCGTCATAACTCTGCCGTCATTATGTTAAGCCCGCCCACCAACTCTACACGATCTGATTGGCCGGACCAGTTTTTGGATTTTCCAGCTCAAAAGTCTATGGAGAGTTGCTAGACCACACTTTGCTGCAAAATAATTTTTGCTGCCGCTAGGGTGCGTCTAGATTTCTAGGCTAGGAGGGAGGGTCTAGCTAGCCTCTGTTTTGTTCAAGGGGGTAATCCACCAGCCAGAAACTGAAGCTTCGCTTGGGGGTTCGCATTGTAGCAGACCATCACCTGCTGTTAGCATTCCATTGACTCCCATTCATTTTGGCGTCACTTTGACAGCGAATAACTTTACATCTGAGGCGTCCAAAAACTCCATTTGTCCATTATTTATTTCTAAAGAAACACGACAATGTATAAAAATCTCCATTACTTTGTATCTTACTTTATGGCCCCGTAGAAGCTGTTTTTGTAAAAATAGCCTAACGATTGCGTCATAACCATGGGACTCTCTGTTGCACAGTAGAGAAATTACCGTATAGACAGGAGGAGAAGCTCGCAGGCAATCTTTTACTGTCTATGAGGCAATCGGGGGGACATGGAGGGATAAAGTCAAGGGAGAAGCCCATAGATAGAGAGTTCTTAAAAGCAACGGGACAAAATATTTCAACAAAGGATTTGTTTCAGATTTCAATTCAGATTTGTCTTGGCACAGCTACTAGAAGACTTACAACTGTCAGAACGGTTGCTCACATCACATCTACGTCGTCAAGCTCAGTTTGAGCCTGCGCAGTACGCTCAGCCATCAGGAAGTGAGTGCTTCTAATGGGCTTCAATTTTCTCAGTTGAAATCTATGGGGTCGCTGTGTCCATTTATTTTACTATGTCTATTGTTTTGTTTGACAATACTTCGAACGTCAACAAGAAGTGACGTCACCCAACATCGAGCACCTTTAATGAAAGAATTTTTGGGTGAACTATCCCTTTAAGTATTTTTTTTTCATCATCCACTGATAGATTCAAATAGCACATCATTTTAAGACAACATTTTTGTGGAAAGATATTTTTTTCAAGCAGGCTAAGCTGATTTTGTGACAGCTAGATGCACTAAAATATCAGATTTGACATGTCCGTTGTTTGATCTGAGCTCAGGAAATACTGACCAATCAAACTGAGAGTGAACATAAACATAATCTCCTGTCTCTGTTTAAACTATATCTAGTTGAATGCAGTGTGCCATCTGGCTGGTATCTTAATCTGGGCACCTTTTTTTATTTTATTATTATTATTTATCATAAAGGCTGTCTCCTGAATCTAAAGGTTTTCTGTGGATTTAAAGGACATTTTACATATAAAGGCTATGATATCTTAAAATGACTAAGGCAAAAGAAAAACATTTTAGGTGTGTAATCATGAAAATTACAATAATAAGACCTAAGAAAAAGCTTCTCAGTGAGTGAGCACCATAACATTTAAGATAATGACTCTAGAACTAAAAGAAACCTTTATATCAAAAGACACCTGCACCTTTCTGTTAGACCTGGCAAGAGAACTGACGGAAAGGATTTGACGATCATGGCCATAATTGCTGGGAACATTTATGACTAATATCACTTATAATGGCAAGAATATAATTTGCATCCAATGTTCACAATGTGCCCTATTCATGTTCTGTGTTTTGGAATAGGATTAACCGTGATGAAAATGCATTATGTCGGCACTGCGGAGGGCTTTGATTGGTCTTGCGTAAGTCATTCGAAAAGCCAGTCATATTCAGCACTTAAGAGTTAGAGACTGTAAAATTATCAAAGACCAACAAACCATTTTCCTCTCCCAAACTATTAGGAATGGTGAACCTGATAAAGAAATGCCAATATGTCTTCATTGCACCTGCCACTGTAGTTCATCTGCTAGCATAGTGCTAAGTGCTAACAACACCATAGGTTTGATTTCAGGGAAAACACATAATGGATAAATAAACTTTATACCTTGTCTGTTACTCTGCCCTTTTAAAAGAAAATGAAAAATTACATCTAAAGCACTAACCTCTTCGATGATGGTTGTCTAGATGCCAGCTTCATCACTTCTATACTCTAAACTCATTTAAAAAAAGCATTCCTTCAGTGAGAATGAGATATACACAGAGAAGGGTCCAAGGTGGCAGATATTTCACATTTAACTCAACTGGTTACAATCTGTTATAATGTGGTGAAACAGTTTAAAGAGCAGAGGTGTCATTTATTTGTTGTTTTTCCTAAAGCTGCACTACAAAACATTGGCCTCTCTATCGCCATCAGTGGTGGAAAGAAATTTGCAGTTACTAAAAGAGTTATAAGGTGTGTTCGACTTGAAGCAGCGCTGTGCAGACCAACCGATGTATGACATGAAAGTGACGCGAAAGCGATTCGAAAGCATACAGAGCCGTCTGCTCTCTAATCCCTCTCACAGTACATTGAAGTTATACTCTGATCGATCCGTGCGGCGCCGCTTCAAGAACACACCTATCTTTTTATGTTGGTGGTGAGTCAACACTGCTCTTCTGAGTAAATTAATCTGATGGTTTGAAGTTGCATGGTTGCATGTGATCACCATATCTTATTAGCTACACCACAATTTACTAATAGTAAAAAGAAAGTCCAACAAGATGAAAATATATGTAATTTGAGCAAGTAACATGTCTGCCACAACAGTAGCCCGACCATCTTAGCTTGGTTTACTGACATGACTTAAAAATGGAAGGACGAATGACGTAAACACAACGTATCCCACAAAAACCTGTCCACTTATTTTGAATGAATTACCCCCAGTTCCTCAATTCATTTTGAACGAATTGCTAAACTAATACAAAGTTCTGTCATGATACTCTAGATGGTGCAGGCTAATAGGTCCTTAACTCAATCTGCTTGCAATCACACCATTCTCTATAGGTCACAGCTGATTGGTTCCTGCTGTATCAGTAGCCAATGAGCTCAAGTGCTCAACCTTCAAATACTTGGTTAACATTTGCCTTTGCAGTGAAGAGCGCTTTAAGAAACCCTCCACCCTCCCCAGCTCCACCTGTATAGATATGCTACGGGTAATTTGTACACTAGATTGTACAGCAACAGCATGTCTTACTTGCCTACAGCAGCGTGTCGTGTGTATGTATTGGCAGTAGCAAGTCCCGTTCTTGCTCTGCAGCAGCAGAAATACCCAACAGCAGCAGAAGCAGCAGCAGCGTAGCACATCTATTCCGCCAAGACCAAATATATCAACATTGTCATACCCATTACCATGCCAACACTCAGAGAGTTATCATGACAGAACTATAATTCACCATGGCTTAGTGAATTGGGGTAAGGCAAGAACCCAAATCTGAAAAGTGTTTTTTTTTTTTATGTACTCACTCAATAATGGTATTTGGTTCATTTTTTTTTTTTCAAAAGTCTTCCGTAGTGCAGATTTAAAGTCAAGAACTGTGCTGATAAACCTCAAACATAGGATCATATGACAATGAGAACAGAAATATAGATTAGAGAGAAATGCAAAGTGTATCAAAGTCTTTATGGGTGTAGTATTTTCCTCTACGTACAATATTTATTTTAACACAATGAGTTAATCTTGTCAGACAAAGAGAGAGAGAGATGTGAAAAGAACAGAAATATGCAGTCTGGAAATATCACACAGTAGTTTCAATATTTTCAATAATCTCCACAATGGATTTGGAAGGGGACAGTAAGGTGCATTTATCCTGGTCCCATAGACTTTCCGGACTAGAGTGTCCATCCATGCTAAGTTCGTCCTCTTCCTCAGACTCTTCCTCGTAGGACTCCAGATAGTGACCTCCCAAAGCATTGATTCCCGAGTCCTCAGAGCTGGAGGGCGAAGAGCAGTGGCCCATTTTTGGTCCTTTAACGCTCTCCTCAATTGTCTGCTTGTCTTCAGTGTGCTGTTTCTGTGCTACCAGACAAGCAGGGTTTATTTGAGGTGGGCTAAGAGGAGCCTCAGTGTGAACTGGGGGCCGCTGAACGTAGCACATCTTGCCGTTGATGCGTTTGACAATGTAGTCGTCGATAAACAGTTCGGCAATGTTGCAGTATTTCGGGGACTCGGGACAAGGCGGTGGCAGGAAACAGGGGGAGATGCGGAGGAAGCGTTCAGTCAGAGAGATGGTCAGATCAATGGTGTTGGTACAGTCAGATGGAGCGACCGGCACAGGTGTGCTGGGTAGCTGAGCCACATTGGTCATGGGCTGGTACACATATTTACCTGTACAGACGGAGTAAAAGGAGATCATTACCTGAATATCTATCAGAAAGCACATACTAATTTGTGTACTAAAATTGAATTACCTCAACAAGGCTGAAGCAATCAGTAAATTCAAACTAAGGCTTTGTAATAATATTTAGCTAGCAAAACATTAAGTGTAACTAAAACAAAAAAAGGAGATATGCATTGCATTAAAACTCACAGGATGCTTCATTATGTATAATCACTTGCAGTGCACTGCAGTATTAATATCAGCAGCCTCTGGTCTGAAAGTCATCATCATTTACAAATGAATCTATTTTTGTTTTCATTAAAGCATATACATCAATATCTCACATGGAGAGTTATCCAAAAACCTGTGGCGTCTATTTACATGCTAATGAGAACTACTGCCACACACCAGTTTAGATCATCTTTGGACTTGCTGTCAGAAAAAAAGAGATCAAAATCTAAAATAGTCAAGTGTAATTCATTGAAACATATTTCATTATATAATAATAATAAATAAATAAAAACCTGTGCACATATAATGAGAGATACAAAAAAAAGAATTATCCAAATAGAAGGTCATGCTGTAATCCACTGAGGTTCACTGAAAAAAATGATTCTGACCCCTTGTAAATGTTACATGTTTTTATCTGGTTAATTTCACTGATTTTAATGTGTTATTTAATCCTACTTATTTTTTATTAGTAATTTTCAAATTCACTGCCCTTGTTTAAAACAAGTTAATTTTATTCAATTAAAAGTAATTAGAAAAAAAAATGTTTAATTTAAAATTGTGGCAAAAGATTACAGGCAATATTATTATTTAAATTTAACACATTACAATTGAGTAAAAATTAATCAAAATAGTTCCTTAAAAGTTAACCATTTTCAAATGAGTAAACTGAGAGAGACTGATTGGTCATCTGAGTAAAATGACCCCGCCCCCTTGACACTGTTATCCAGAGCTATGTTCAATACAAAATCTCTATGCATTTTAAACAAAAATAACAGACAGACGTCAAAAAAGAAGTAATAAGTCTTTATTTTTATTGCCAACATTGAAGATACCTGATGTTAACAAGCAGAATCACTGAAGGATTTGTGTCACCATTATAGAGATTAGTGTTTGTTTTAGTTGGGGCTTGACCCTTAACTCATTACCTTTACATTTTTTGTTTGACTGTTGTACCTGACTGAGTTATAACAGCCATATGAGCATATAGAAAAGGTAGTCTGATGCCATTGGTTGTTATTTAATAATCATTCATTCACAATCATTTAACTTGAATCACTGAATTTTATTTTAACTGCAGCATGCTTTATAATTGTCACCATTATGGAGATTCACAGGCTGATTCTTGAAAAAATTGAGTAAATTCAACTCATAATAATTTAGCTAAATTTCTAAATATAATTAAACTGAAATTACTTATAAAATATAAGTATAACCAGTTTACAAAATATAAGTACACTTAACTTAAAAAATATATCTGGATTTAGATAATTTTATTTCGTGCAACCCCTTGACATAATAAAATTAAGTAAAATCAACATAACATTTTTTTCAGTGTTGTATTACAGTGCAGCAACATACTTTCACAGAATGAATTAATGCTTATTCTACACATTGTAGCATTTCTTTTTTCTTTTGCATAGTCTATGTTAAGGTCAATGTTTCTTGCCCTCAAAAGAGTTTTACATGATCATTTTCCACCCTTCCTTTGTTACTGTAGCTTTAAACGTCTATGTATACTGTAAATTACCTCTGTTTTGATTGGTTATGAAATGAGTAACAGTGCAACTGCCAAGATGCTGAATGTTATATAGGCTTTGATATGTACCCCTGGTTGTTTCTTATTTACTTTTTAATTAAGGGCCATTCACGTCAAATACTTCAAATGATTAAATATGTGAAATAAATGATTAATCTGTTGGCTGTTAATTATAAAATCAAATCAACATGAAATACAAACATAGCAGTAAATACAAATGTGCATATATATCATATCATGTAATAGAATAAACTCTTTTACATAACTGGACTGCCTCTTATTATATTATACTATATTATGTTTAGCTTTCTATTGTTTGCCATCACAGTACATTTTAAGGAATCTCTGTCAAGTCCCCCGCTTGAATGTGCTCATGGTTGTGGTGTCAATAATATGATGATTTCTGATCTAACTCTTCTTTGCAGCTTTGTTAAAATACTATCCCCTGGTTTCACAGACAAAGCTAAAACTTATTCCCAGACTAAAAATGCATGATCGAGCTGTCATAATTGAAAGCGACTTACACTGAGATATCTTAAAATATGTCACTGGCAATGTTTTGTCTCAAGATGCACACCACCAGTAATGTTTTTTTTTTTTTTTTCACTTTTATAAAAGTTGAACTAAGGCCTAATCCTGGCTTAATCTCAGCCCTGTCTGTGAAACTGGGCCTATATTTCAACATAAAAAAAGAAAATCTTGTTTTCCATGAAAGATCCCCTTTAAATCATACTGTAAAAGTTTGATCAAGGAGGATTTTTTTTTGTCCCATTTGTCTTTTTTTTGTTGCTCCCCTTTGTTGAAAAAAGATCAAAATAAAAAGTCCAGAAAGACAGCACCGCAGTTCATTTCCGTTTCGTTCCACACATCTGCAGAATCATCCAGCCGGGATGTGATCAGGACATCTATGACAACACTAATCCCCTGTTATCGGCCCAGATCCACTCACTCGCTCATGGCCTTTGACAGTAAGTCTCTTGTCTCATATCTCTCTGTCTAAGGGTCTTTCTCACATGCACACACTCTGTCTTTCTCTTTCTCTTTCTCAAAAGCATCCCCTAAATTATACAGGAGTCAGCTCTACAGAGATACAATATGACAGTAGCCCCATCCATCCCATTCACTTCACCAGAACGGATTTATACAGGTCACTTAAGAATGCATTAGACAGCAACTGTCAAATATCTTGTGTTTTGTGCTGTAAACAGATGACTATTCCAGGGTTTAACTAACTAAAAGTAGTGACACTACTAACTAAACTACATTTCAAAACAGCATGGGAGTAGTTTTTCCAAGTAAAAAGTTTAATGACTCTCTCATATGAAGCACTACAGGGAGTTCGATTAATATTAGTGGATATATATTCATTCAGATTCAAAACGTTGTCAATTTATTTGTGCTGCATTTTACATCCTCTTTTTGTACTGATATACAAAATAATGCTGCAACAATTTAATGAATTCATACAATATCTGGGTAGTGTAATGAAACAGATACTACCACTACTACTAATACAGTATATTATTAATAAATGAACACGTAAATGTTGACATTTCTACAAGTAATAGTAGTTCTAGCAAACAATTCCTGCAGCCCTGAGATTTGATATGATTTCTGTATCAAATTCATGAGAGGAACTTAATAAACATATCTGGCCAAGAAAAGCAAAGACAACAAAAGAAACACAAAAGCAAAACAAACTCATTACATTCTAATGAGATTCCAAAAATGTCCTGTGAAGAGAGCAAACGAAGTAAATTGCACGGAGGTGCCGACTATCTCGACTGAGCGGAACACAATTATTTCACCGCACTTTTCTCATGTGCAATCAACAATAGAGGTTCCACTTGTACGGTTTGGCATTCATTTACAGACTTCTGTCGGTTCTTTGTTTTATAAATCTTTTGGACAAGGACCGGATCTCCAAGCCAGAACAGAGCTCAGAGAGGAAATCAATGTTTGACAGCTGGAGCTGCAGGCACAGAGCCAGAAACAGGAGGCTTCCTTCTCGACGTTTCACACATGGCCACATAACATCACTAAGCAGCACATACACGCCTGGAGTGTAGACGCCACTCTCACAGCTTCTGCTCTCTCACCACAGCCCTGGATTTGCTCAGGGGATGACTGGGTACTGTCAAACCCAAACACAGCACAGCAAAGCTGTCGTCGGTATCATGTGTGGTGTGGTGCGGTGCTGTGCAAGAGCAACGTTAATAAATCATCACAATGTACACCATAACACAGCGGTGTGCCGTTGGGGCACTCATTGCACCATAAGAACAGTCAAGACAACAACACAATAAAGACTGTAGAAAGGAAACAGAATTTTGGGGAGTGTGGGGTCAGATTTTTTAAAAATGTTTTTACAAGCAATCTCTGATGTTCGCCAAGGCTGAATGCATTTGATAAAAAATACAGTAAAACAAAAATATTGTGAAACATTATTACAATTCAAAATAAAGGTTATCTATTTGGAAATCATGTTGTGGTAAAGCTGGATTTTTAGTATACTTCAGTCTTCTAATATGCTGATTTGCTGCTCAAGAAAACGTTATTATTATTATTATTAATGTTATTATATATTATTAATGTTTGTGGATATTTTTGTGGAAACCTTTTTCATATTCTTTTGATAAATAGAAAATTCAAAAGAATATTATTGGTAACTTTATTTTAAGGTGACGTAGTTAGTTACACATTACTACATTAACGTACTAATAACAGTAAATTATGCATACGTATTACAAGTAACTAACCCTAAACTAAAGCCTAACACTAACCGTATATCTATAGTAATTACATACTAAACACAATGTAACTACGTCACAGTAAAGTGTAACCACAGTATTTACTTGAAATAGATTCAAAATAGTCTTTACTGTAACCTTTGATCAAATTAATGCATCCTTGCTGAATAAGTGTTCATTTCTTTCTTTCTTTCTTTCTTTCAAAAAAAAAACCTTCTGACCCCCGAACTTAAAGGGATATTTCACCCATTTTTTTTTATTCTGACATCATTAACTCCCCCTCAAAAGAAGATATTTTGAAGAATATGGGTAATCAAACAGTTGATGGGCTTCAATGAGGGGACATCAACTGTTTGTCAATCAACATTCTTCAAAATATCTTCTTTTGTGTTCAGCAGAAGAAAGAAATGCATACAGGTTTGGAACAACTTGAGGGTTAGTAAATGATGACTGATGACAAAATTTTCATTTTTGGGTGAACTGTCCTTTTAGGTGTGCATCTCCACTAAACCAAAAGATCTGTAGATCTGCCATCAAATGAAAAGTGCTTCCCCTGATAATAAGCCACGCATGGAATCGTGAATAGCAGTCGCCAATTGTGCTAGGTGTCATTTCAAAAGTCTTAGTTTCTACAGTTACGCAACAAAGCACCAGGATTTCCAGCCATGAATTATTTAACAGATCCGGCATACTAAACAATACATATCAGGGTGAGCTTGTTGTGTTTGTAATTTTATGGTACATTTAATGCTTTTCACAATGGCACACCAGTCAGTAGTTCTCACAGGGCAAGTGTGCTGGCTGATAAACCACGAGAACACATTAACATAATGCTCTGTCTCTATTGCAATAATGGCAGATTATAGCTGTCATCATGGGCACAAACTGATAAAGGAAAAAAAAACACTGAGTGTCTACCCCCATCCTACAATCCAAATTCATTATTTTGCAACCTCATATCTCACACTGCGGATGTATGCGATCATACAAAATGATAAAACTGCAAGCAAACAATGATGCACTGCATATAGCTGCATTTGTAGACCAGTATTACATTAGAATTTATGTTGATTACAGACGTGCTTTTATTGATCAGATAAATAAATAAATAGAGTAACCCTATCTGTGTTGTAAAAGTAATCACAAACATAGGACTGGCCGGTAGCCTAATAAAATGTAAAGAGGAAAATATAGAGGACATAAAAAAACTACTGTGATGACCGTTGAGGATAATAATCTTTTATAATTTGATGGCTGAACTTAATAAAGTTCAGCTCTCTTGGCAGAAGTGTCATGAGAGGGTATTAAATACGGTTTGATCTGCTCACACAGTTCTAAAGGGCTCGTTCTGACATTTACCTCCCTTAAAACTCAATGAAAGCTTTTCCAATCACTCGAGACCTGAACTCAGTCAGAGTGACGTGAACTAGAGGAAGTGAACATCCTGCTCAAGGAGCCGAGCGGACGCTTCCTGTGTGTATTCGCTCATGACTGCTGGATTCAGGGTCATGTCCAGCTAACGACTGGAGAATATAGAGGTGACGCAAAGGTTCAGGAAGCTTTGATAAAGTCAGCTATAGAGGTTTGAACTCTCACAATGGAATTGCTCCTGAGATATGTCTGGGGAGATCTACACATCTTGCTTACTAAGAAATTGTCAAGCTTGTGCTCAGGCACAGCCGAAGACATATAATGCTGAAAAAGCATCTGTGCGACACCAGACAGCAGTTGCTGATGACAACACAAGCTCATAAATGTTCACAAAACAGGTTGCGTGATCATACATGCAATGGATAGTATTAAAAAATGTCATATTTGAAACCCTACACTCTTAGGAAAAAAGGTTCAGTGGGGTTCTATATTGATCCGGTTCTTGACTCAATTTTAAAGAACCCTTTGTGCATAAAAGGTTCTTTATAAGGAGAAATGTTTTAAAAGCTTGCGTAATAATGTTGTTACGGGTGTGGTGCAGGCAGAGGAAGAGGCAGCAGTCAACAGGTCCAATTCAAATATAATTTACTCAAACAAAACAAGGATCACGGGAAACAGCAACACACCATACACAAACGTTACATAAACGAGAACCGACAAGGAGTGAGGGAGAACACAGGGTATAAATACACTTAGAACGGATAATGAGAACAAGACACAGCTGGGGCAAATGAACTGATAATGACAGGTAGACAGGTGAAGGAACTGAGAACTAACGAGGAGCGGGAAAACTAACACAGGACTCAACCAAATCACAATGACGGGGGGAAACACAGGACACACATGTAACATAACGCCCCCTCCAAAAAGGCGCGTCCTCGCGCCGTATAACTTCAATAGGGGTGGGGGGGCGGGCGCCCTGGAGGCTGACGAGGGCGTGGCCTACCCTGAGCAGGAAGCCTCCAGGGCGGAGCAGGACATGCAGGAGGCCAGGGCGGAGCAGGACGTGCAGGAGGCCAGGGCGGAGCAGGACGTGCAGGAGGCCAGGGTGGAGACTTTCCCTCGGGTGGCCAGGGTGGAGACTTTCCCTCGGGTGGCCAGGGTGGAGAGGCCACTTCAGGAGGCCAGGGTGGAGAGGCCACTTCAGGTGGCCAGGGTGGAGAGGCCACTTCAGGTGGCCAGGGTGGAGAGGCCACTTCAGGTGGCCAGGGTGGAGAGGCCACTTCAGGTGGCCAGGGTGGAGAGGCCACTTCAGGTGGCCAGGGTGGAGAGGCCACTTCAGGTGGCCAGGGTGGAGAGGCCACTTCAGGTGGCCAGGGTGGCTTATATCCCCCCCCCAAAATTTTCTTGGGGGGAGTGACGGGTTCAGAGACAGGCTTGGGGGAACTGGACGGGACCAGCGGAGAAGGCACGGGAGGACTGGACGGGACCAGCGGAGAAGGCTCGGGAGGACTGGACGGGACCAGCAGAGAAGGCTCGGGAGGACTGGACGGGACCAGCGGAGAAGGCTCGGGAGGACTGGACGGGACCAGCGGAGAAGGCTCTGGCTCGGCAGACGCGCAGGGAAGCTCCGGCTCGGCAGGCGTGCGGGGAAGCTCCGGCTCGGCAGGCGTGCAGGGAAGCTCCGGCTCGGCAGGCGTGCAGGGAAGCTCTGGCTCGGCAGGCGTGCAGGGAAGCTCAGGCTCGGCAGGCGTGCAGGGAAGCTCAGGCTCGGCAGGGCTGCAGGGAAGCTCAGGCTCGGCAGGGCTGCAGGGAAGCTCAGGCTCGGCAGGGCTGCAGGGAAGCTCAGGCTCGGCAGGGCTGCAGGGAAGCTCAGGCTCGGCAGGGCTGCAGGGAAGCTCAGGCTCGGCAGGGCTGCAGGGAAGCTCAGGCTCGGCAGGGCTGCAGGGAAGCTCAGGCTCGGCAGGGCTGCAGGGAAGCTCAGGCTCGGCAGGGCTGGACGTGACCAGCTGTGCGGGCTTGGCTGGGCTGGACGGAACCAGCGATGAGGGCTTGGCTGGGCTGGACGGAACCAGCGGTGCGGGCTTGGCTGGGCTGGACGGAACCAGTGGTGCGGGCTTGGCTGGGCTGGATGGAACCGGCTGTGAAGGCTCGGCTGGGCTGGACGGAACCAGCGGAGAAGGCTCGGGAGGACTGGATGCATGGGCCAGAACTGATGTGTGTGTAGCCCACACACACAAAATCGCCGTAGACATCACCATCAAAGCAGTCTCCTCTTGAGTGGACTTACGTGTGGTGTGCACAGTCTCTAACGGGCAGGCGACGGGCTCAGGCTCTAGCGGGCAGGCGACGGGCTCAGGCTCTGGCGGGCAGGCGACGGGCTCAGGCTCTGGCGGGCAGGCGACGGGCTCAGGCTCTGGCGGGCAGGCGACGGGCTCAGGCTCTGGCGGGCAGGCGACGTGAAGCTGCGGTGCAGGCTGCTCTGAACGGACGGTCTCTGGCTGGACGGTCTCTGGCTGGACTGATGTTACCGTGAGGGATGAACCACAGACCCAAAGCGCCCTGTCCAGAAACTCCGAGAATGGTAGATGTAGGTCATCGAGCAACAGTATCTGGGCTAAGGGATCATCCAAACCTCTCCAGAACCGCTGTTTAAGGAAATCTTCCTCCCAGTATACGTCCTGGTGCAGGTGAAGATATACCTCTGTGAATTCCTCCAGTGAGGCCCCATTTTGGTCAAAGAGGAAAGCCTCCATCTGGTCGTCCATTTTTGTGGTCGGTTCTTCTGTTACGGGTGTGGTGCAGGCAGAGGAAGAGGCAGCAGTCAACAGGTCCAATTCAAATATAATTTACTCAAACAAAACAAGGATCACGGGAAACAGCAACACACCATACACAAACGTTACATAAACGAGAACCGACAAGGAGTGAGGGAGAACACAGGGTATAAATACACTTAGAACGGATAATGAGAACAAGACACAGCTGGGGCAAATGAACTGATAATGACAGGTAGACAGGTGAAGGAACTGAGAACTAACGAGGAGCGGGAAAACTAACACAGGACTCAACCAAATCACAATGACGGGGGGAAACACAGGACACACATGTAACAAATGTCATGTTTAATGGGTTACTTAAAAAAAATTCTATAGTCATAAAGTATGTTTCCGAGTTGTTTAACTCATAAAATTGTATTAAAATAAAAAAATGAATTAAAACTAAATCCCTAAAATCCATCATGGTATCATTTCATGGATTTAGATTTAATTCATTTTGTTTTTAATTTTAATTCAATTTTATGAATTAAACAACTCGTAAAGTAAACATACTAAGGGAATACATGACGCGCCTGACAGAACCCTTTACGGTTTTATAGAACCTTTTCTTATAAGAGAGGAGATTCATATAAATAGTAAAGAAAATGGAAAATGATGCATGTATTTACTACATAACCTATTTTTTCTGCAAGATGATGGACAGTAGATTTCTTTCTGCTATATAGAATATGTGGGTAGTGATCTTTAATCATACTATCAGCTGCATTATTGTGTTGAAGACAGTGAATGATATTTTGTACCACTTCTCATTTGAACAGTGCACACTTACTAGTGTATCATATTGTATTTAGAATAGAATAGAATAGAATGGAATAGAATGTATTTGCATGTCAGAAGTTGGCCACTTACAGTGACACCAGCCTAAATGGCAGCACCAGTGCAGTTTGAAACACTTTCCGTGGCTGTGGGTCGCGCAGATGGACAGTCCATCACAGGGAAGAAAGTCTGGTCTGCCTGCACAGCTTTTGGCCAGAGCTTGAGCTTCATCTAACTTATCGCTCTTCAAAGCCTTCTGCACTCCGGTGTAAGCCATGGTTACTGTAAGAGAAGAGACATGCAATGAAGATACACTGTCAAACACCTACTGATTTAAGATACATTAATAAGAAGGACTGCTTGAGGAATGAAATGTATTTAGGTCAGACTTTACGGTATATGACACGTTTATTAATAATTGATTGTATTATATAATATTATCATGTAATACACATAGGCTACTATAATTTGTTATATAAAATACTACTGTATTAAAAACAAATGATAAACAGCAGAGTGTTAGTCTCAAATAACACGAACTATTAAAAGTATTTTGAGTTTGGATTTGCTTACCTCAGTCACTTACAGCTGATGATATCCTACCATCACACAACATCAGCATTAAGATCCCTGTAGCCGTAGGCTACTGAATATGAAGAATTACATTTTTCCATATTAAACTGAAATGGCTTTCGATGAGGATAATCCTTCATAGATTTCCAGAGAATTATCAACTGAGTTAAAATAAAAGGTATCTGCCAGATCCGTACTGAGGAACAATCATGCATGTAAAAGGTCCTGGAGCGCTCGCTATTTAAGGAGAGAGAGAGAAAAGCGCAGATTGAAACTTATGTTTCACATGAGCTCCTCGTGTTGCAGTCGCAGTGGACGCTGCTGCGGGACTGACTGAGCGCTAATGGCACACTGACGGGAAATATACTGCACACACACACACACACACACACACACACACACACACACACACACACACACACACACACACACACACACACACACACACACACACACACACACACACACACACACACACACAGCTGCTGTGACAACACTTGACCAGAAGACGGCGCTCAAATACACTACAAAGGTTTTCTCAATCATATGATTTTACTGTAACCTACTACATTAGGAAAGACGGTTACACTTCATTTTAAGGTGTCATTGTTACAGTGTAATTATTTATTTAAGTACTGAGTAATATTAATTAACTACATGTAGGCTACTTACTCTAGGGTTAGGGTAGGATTAGGATTTGGTTGAGGTTTAGTTGCATGTAATTATGCACAGTTTACTGTTATTACTATGGTTAAGTACATGTAACATATGTAAAAAGGACACTGTAAAATAAAATGTTACCGGAAAGACTTTAGAAAGATTTTCTAAAAATGTTTTATTATTGTTATTATTAATAATTGTATTATTTTGACTAACAATCTGTAATTATTACAGTGTGTAAAAAGCAAAATATGAAAAAAAGGAAAAAAAGGAAAATGTATGAAAAAGACATTGATTATTTGACGAATCACTATAAAATAAATTTTGAATTAAAAATTCAAATTTGAGTTTTCAACGAACATATAAAAGATTTTTGAATCCGAGTACTAATGCAAACTTCTGATCTCTTTCTCTCTCTCTCATTATATATATATATATATATATATATATATATATATATATATATGTTACACACACACACGCGTTGTGTTTTCATATTTTATGAGGACTTTTCATAGACATAATGATTTCTATACTTTAAAAACGTTATATTCCGTACTACCCCCTTACACTAACCCTACCCCTAAACATACCCATCACAGAAAACTTTCTGTATTTTTACATTTTCAAACACACACACACACACACACACACACACACACACACACACACACACACACACACACACACACACACACACACACACACACACACACACACACACACACACACACACACACACACACACACAGCGATTAGAAGCAATAGCAATTAACTTATCCCTTGCAGCAAAGCACAAATCACATCATACAAACTACACCTAACAGGCCAACTATTCCACATAGATTATCAAGAGCCAAATTAATTAAAAGTTTTCCTTAAACTGAATGCACAGCCATAAATAGCCCTAATAAAAAACATCCAAACAGGTAGTTCATAATATATACACTACTGATCAAAAGTTTTTGTTTTTTTACCAAGGATATTTTGAATTGATCAAAAGTTACAGATATTTTTTTTTTTCATCAAATAATCCTAAAAAAATGTATCATGGTTCCACAAAAATATTAAGCCATTTTCAGCATTGATAAGAAATGTTTCTTGAGCACCAAATCTGCATATTATAATGATTTCTGAAGGATCATGTGACACTAAAGACTGGAGTAATGGTACCAATGGGCCTGAGACCAGTGCTGTGCAAAAAATAAACCACATTACTAACAGGGATTTACAACTACTGTCCTTTCTGCCAAAACTATATATGTCTGCTACTAAGAAATGCAAAAATACACAGGACATTAAAACCTATTCGGATAGAAATAATAAGCCGATACGACAGGTAAGAGTTGAGAAAGTCGATTCTTTAATAACCGGCTTTATGTAGAGTTTTAAACTTAACACATAGCATGTTGTTCATGGTGCTCTTAGAGATGGCTGTGCATTGTTTTGATATGCTCTCTCCATTTTTGGATAGGAGGACTGCCACAAGCCACAAGTTTTTTCAGAAGAGGACTGGGCTCTAAATGAGACACATCAGGATGGGCTTGGTGGTAATGCTCCAACCTCTCCAGGACTCTTTCCAGGCCCACCATGCTGGCGTAGAACATGGGCCCACCACGGTGCCTTGGAAAGCCATAACCGAACTGATAGATGACATCAATATCCTCCGGTCGGGCAGCTATGCCATCCTCCAGAATACGAAAGCCCTCGTTGGCCAAGGCGAAAAGGCATCGCTCGATCATTTCCTGATCTGTAATATTGCGCGGTTTAATGCCGTACCTGCTCCTGTACGTCTCAAGGAGGTTCTGGATCAGTGGGTCAGGCTTTGCGTTTGTGCCCCCAGGTTTGTCGTACATGTACCAGCCACGACCGGTCTTCTGGCCAAACCTGCCTTGCTCACAGACCATGTCTGGAATGGGACAGTACTTACGCCCTTGGCGCCTACGTGGGGGATTTTTCGGGTCGACATCAGGCCCGGTCAACCCGGATTCCTTCCGGACTCTCCAACCAACATCAAGACCTGCAAGGTCAGACATCCTAAAGACACCCATTGCGAAACCAAAGTCCTCCAGAACCTTGTCGATTTGTTCAGGTGTGGCCCCCTCCTCCAGCAGGAAGGTGGCTTGATCAGAGTAAGGCTTCAGCATGCGGTTTCCGACAAAACCAGGGCAGTTTCCAACAGCAACACTCACCTTTCCCATCCTCTTCCCAAGACTCATCGCTGTAGCGATGGTTTCACTTGAGGAGCGAGGCCCACAGACAACTTCTAAGAGCTTCATGACATGTGCCGGCGAGAAGAAGTGCATCCCAATCACCAGCTGCGGTCTATCCGTCACACCGGCCAGCGCATCCACATCCAGACCAGAGGTGTTGGAGCAGAGTAGAGTGGTTGGTCTACACACCTTGGACAATTCTTGGAAAACACGCTTCTTAAGTACCATGTCTTCAAAGACTGCTTCAATAACAAGGTCCACATCCTTCAGGTCCTGTAAGCTGAGGGTGAATTTGAGGAGATTGAGAGAGGCACTCACTCCCCGTCTTTTGGCATCTCTCTCCAGCATGCCAATCACCATCTGCCTGCCAGTCTCCATGAGTTTCTTGTCTGACTCTACAGCAATGACAGAAATTCCCACACGTGCCAGAGACACCGCAATGCCCCTTCCCATTGTGCCCAGACCTAAAAGGGTGACAAATGAATGGTCAATACGGAGTAAAACAAAACCATCAGTTTAAAACAACATAGGCACAATTAGACATAGGCACTTGTTAATTAGCAGATGGTGAAACTGATCAGAGCACAAAACTGAGCCATATTTCTAATTCTATGCATGAGGGTTTGTACACTGCCAGCATTCTTCCTCTATGATAACAGAAGAATCTCTGCTTGTCTCAAACGTAAAGCAAACAGATGTTTCAACACTTCTGAAAAACAACATTGGCACACTAACAACCTATAAGTGTGCATAAAGCTGTCCTAGATAAGAATATTGAACAGAAAAAAAGTTTTTTTTTAAATGTATTTTTACAATTTCAAATGTATGCTTTAAGTCGCTTGGGTTTAATAAATCTAAGTACATATAAAAAAATAATTAATGTAAAAAATACATTGATTTTTTTTTTTCTTCTTTGGAATATTAAAGGATACAGAAAATGTTCAATTCTGTCATCATTTATTCATCAGTCGTTCCAAATCTGTACTTTTTTCTTTTGTGGAAGATAAAAGAAGATAATTTGAAAAATACTTTTTTTTGTCCATTCAATGAATGTCAATGGGGTCCAGTGTTGTTCTTCTCTTTTTCAAAACATCTTCTTTTGTGTTGCACAGAAGAAGGAAAGTCATATGTTTGGAACATCATGAGGGTGAGTAAAGTATATACCATTACAGTTTTTGTTTAATTAGCTTTTATGTTTTTATTATGATTTCAGTTATTTTAGTAGAGTTTTTAGTGAATGTGTTTTGTAAATGTGTTATATGCTTTTGCCATTTTTACACTGTTTTTTTAATGTTACTTTTTTACTAAACCTATTAAGATTTTCCATTTAGAAATTTTGAGTTCTTCAACTTATTTCATTTAGTTGCCAAAGCAACATTTCTAATTTTTGTTTAGTTTCAAACAGCTCAAACAGTAGAGCACGGCTCTAGCAATGCCAAGGTCATACGTTTGATTCCTATGGAAAGCAAAAACTGTAAATATGCATCTTGAATGCAATGCAAATGCAATCCACGCTTTGGATAAAAGTGTCTGCCAAATGCCTAAATGTAATCCTTATAATTATTTTTTATTTTTATTCAATTCACAAAAATGTTTAATAGTTTTAGTTAACCAAATAACCCTGCTACCATCCCCAGGTCTTGTTCATGCACATAAAGACATTCTCTTTTGGTACCTATAACGGCTGCACTCCGGATCTCTCTAGGTTTGGTGTCATTCCATTGCGCTCCACTAGGTAGAGTCCATTTCCCAGCAGACCTCTCAGCAAAGAAGCAGTACTGAAGAGCCCGGGCCTGGCCAGAGTTGAAGAGAGTGGCCATCAGTTCACTCTCCCGCTTTATTCCCTGGCTGTAAGGCATTGTAGCAGCTGCCCGCACTGCCTGAACACAAGCCATAGGTGCCATCACTCCCCGAGCCTTCTTCTGAATCTGCATAGTGACCGCTTCTAATAGGACATCCAGATCTGGAGGGCAGGGCACGGTCAGCGCACTCAGTCTTCGGGAAGACAGCGGTTTGGCTGTGAAATATACAATGGATATGATATCAAAATATAACCTAATGTGATAAACAAAGGCAATGCTAAGTGGGTAGTATTGAACCTCGTGTAGTATGGTCGTTTTATAACAAACATGGCAATTACTCCGAATCAGTAGAAATGGAACGGTCAAGAAGAAATTCCAAAATACTTATGTTAATCAGTTTCTAAAATATGTTGGATTTCTGAAAGTGTGTAATCGTAGCATTCAAAATGCACAAACACAAGACCTGACTTGAGTCATGTGCCTATCTCTTGGTGCACGCACACACACACACGTTGTGTTTTCATGTTTTATGTGGACTTTACACAGACATAATGATTTTTATATGTACAAACTGTATATTCTATCCTAGCCATCACAGAAAACTTTCTGCATTTGTAGTTTTGTACATTTTCAAAAAACATAATTTAGTATGAGTTATAAGCTATTTTCCTCATGGGGACCAAAAAATGTCCTCACAAGGACAGAGATTTCGGATTTCCCAGGAATCCTAATTAACCTAATTATAACTAAGTCTTGATCCTCAAACAGGCCTTTAAAGGGGTGTCAGAAAGTGAGGACTGGCCAAAATGTCTTCACTTGACTCTTTGTCCTTACTCCGATGGTCTAAAACTCAAACCAGTCCGAAAGAAAGATAGACACACACACATAACAGAACAGAACAGCCCATCAAAACTGCATTTTTAGTGTTTTGACTTCCTGTCTCACTAAAAGGATTACGCAGGGCGGTACCTGATTCAATATAGCTTTTAACTGCATTAGATTCATCTTTCTCTCTGGAATCTGGGTCACTCTGATGAGCCTTAAAGGGCCAGCAGGACCAGAAACCAATAGTTTTGTCTGTTTTCTGCTCTGTCCTGTTTTGAGCAATCAATAGAAAGTATATTGACAGGAATTAGCATTTCAAAACAGTGTTGTTCCTTTCAAGTAACACATAGAAGCACGAGTGTCCAGTTTGATGTCTAGTGTACTGTGCTAGTGCACACTACAGATGTTGCTGTGGTTAATCTGTGGTGCTGTGGGAAGGACTTGAATCACTAATGCTGTGATTTATTGTAAGTAGGGCTGGGTCAGATCCTGATAGGTGCATGTGGCAGATGTTTCAGCGACTGGAAAACAAGATAAATCTCTGTAGCTATGAGTGCCGAGAGAAAGATTCTACAAAAAGTGTTGAGGTAAAGAGTTGTAATCTAAGAACTAAACAAACCAGCTACAAGATTAATCACACCATTTCAACATTTGATTTTAGGCAACAACAACAAAAAACAGACATTAATGATGAGTAAATAAACTACTCATCCCATGAAGCACTGTGAAAGATGTTACTGAAGCGAAATCAATGATACAATATAAAACGATTGACTTACAGTATAGTAATTATGAAGTAAGAATGTTCTCGCAAAATATTCATATATGCAGCCATTAAAAAGTGTGGAGTCAGTAAGGCTGCAATTATTTGATCAATTACAGTAAAAACAGTAATATTGTAAAATATTATCATAAATTTAAAACAACTTGTTTCTGTTTTATATAATTTAAAATGGAATTTACATGATCCTGCAGAAATCATTCTAATACGTTGATTTGCTGTTCAAGAAACACTTATTATTATTAATAATGCTGAAACAATGTTCTGTGGAAACTGTGATAAGAACAGCGTTTACTTGAAATTGAAATCTTTTGAAACAATGTAAAAGTCTCTGTAACTGTTGAATAATACATATGCGCTGAAATGCTTTATTGGAGTGGGAGGTCTCTGCTGCTGAGCTCTATCAATGGAGAAAATTAATGGGATTTCTTACCTCTGGGACTCTACTGTCTCACAATAGATATTACGATCAATCACACACATGAGATTTATCATCCAGGCTAATTCTCAGCCATTCTCTTTAAACAAATTCTGTGTGGCCACAATTTGAGATGGAATCAACCCGTTTACATTCTGACAGATTTGGACCATTTGCAATTTACCATTAGTCAGTAAATCAGGCACATTTTGGCTGTTGTCCACCATACCTGTGTCACGTTTGCTCCTGCTACTCAATTACATTTAGTTGACTGTTGCAAGGATTTTGCCGGGTTCATCTTCGCTCAGCGTGTGATTACAGTGAGAGCATTAGCTTTTGTGGCCAATCTTTAATCTCCCTCCACAGCTTATCCTGACTCTAGATGAACCCTGATCTCTCCGTAAGAGTGTCACTCACAACATTCACATTACAAGAGATCTGGCTCCGTCACTCTCCGTAGAGCATAATAAACAGCTGCACTTACTGTAGACCTAGAAAAGCCGAATAATTTGACAGAAATACTTCAGAGAGCCCGGCAATCGTTTCAATGATTTAATTGCTCTCATATGATTTGTCATTACTGGAGGAAATGGGGGTCAAGCAGAAGGTGAAGAATTGGCATTCATTTTTCAGAAGCTGCAGAGAATCACAATGCAGAGAGCACAATTCAACAGTATACACAAAGATTTTTGACTTCACTTGCCCCGTATATAGTTAAGAAAGTCAGTACAAATATAATCATTAACATTTTGCATGTTTTTAAACCAGTTCGAGGGGATTTAAAGACCATCTTATCATCAAAAGTAAATAAAAGATCTGTAATAATGAGAGCTGTTATATATATATATATATGAAACATGCCATTTGTTTAAATTGTTCTCCAATGCTCAGAAGGGTCACAATTAATATTCTAATAATGTCTGTTCCTTTTCACTTCTTGAAAAATAGATCAAAAAGCACCGAACGTCTCTGAAACTCGTTGACAAGGATATGAAACATTAATTCCATTTGCTGTGACAAAGGATTTATCTGGAACGTCCCCTGACTCTGAAAGCCTGCCAAAGACTCGGCTTCCCTTTACTGTTCAGTTTTTTAATATCCGCATTTCTGCTTTGCAAGCTCATGCTCACGCTGACATACCTACAGCTCTCAGGGCAAACTCCACAGCCACCTCACAAGCATTCTGCTCTGTGACCTGGTCAACGATGCCCAGCTTCAGAGCCTCCTGGGAAGAGACATGGCGGCCTGCAATATGAAACAATAATTCTGCTGTTGGTAAAGGAGAAACTGAGCGATGTGGGGGTGCTTTACGTGATTATTATCATTATTTTTTTTGCTTTATAGATTATGACAATGGGTGAGGAAAATCCCATCATAACCATAAAACAACTGAAATCTCACTGTGCATGTTTAAAGGATTAGTTCACCCAGAAATGAAAATAAATGACTCACCCTCACAGCGTTTCAATCCCATATGCTGTTGTTTTACCAGTGGAAAACAAATAAGACTTTTTAATGAATGTTCATACAGCTCTTAAAAAAAAGAAGATATATGTGGTCATCATGAAATGTATATAAAAAAGCACTGAACAATTATTTAATTTTCTCTTTTTGTGTTCCACCATAAAAATAATAATAATAACAATTATAATACACACATTTGGAATGACATGAGGGTGTGTAAATAATGACACAATTTTCATTTTTGGATGAACTGTTGCTGTTAGCTGAACAATGACACTATTTTCTTTTAAGAGCTGCTTTACAGCAGAACTGAACACTGTTTGCATCATTGAATCGTTATTTCCCTATTTATCCCTGTAAAGCTGCTTTGAAACAATCTGTATTGTATAAAGTGCTATATCTGGATTTGACTTGTTGCTATAAGCCCTAAAGCAAATCAATCAGAAACAGTGTGCAATGCTGACACCTGGTGGGAAAAGTTTGATTTATTACTGAAAACAAAATGTAGTCCCCTACTGTTTTCATTTTTATCATAAAGTACATTGGATGATCAGATTAACTGTAGCACTTCTTACAGTGAAGAATTAGTGAATTATTTATGAAATCTCTTTGAAAATATCAGAGACACAGCAGTTATTGAGTAGTAAAAAAAATAAAAATTAATCGAGGGGCTCAGCTCACGAAATTTTAGCCAATCAGGAAATTCAGAAACAATCTCTGCAGGACATATTTCAGTCACTTGACTTTGACTGTTATGTTTTTTTGCGGAGCTGGGATTTACAGAGTAGGGCATGTGGCTGAAATTAGCAAAAAGGCTGAAATCTGTTGGGGTGAATTGTGGGTGTGCCAATAGGCTAAGTGTATGATTTACCCGTGGTGATTAGTTCTAGGGCAGCAGGAATGCCAATGAGCCTGGGAAGACGCTGAGTTCCCCCAGCAGCTGGCAGGAGGCCCAAAGTCACCTCTGGAAGCCCAAGACGTGCCTGGAACGCAAAATACATTATAGTACATTACATACTTAATGCATAAACCACAAACCAACAACATTTCCTTCTCTTAATAAACCTCAAATATTGATATCAAAGTTCAACCCATTAACTTACAACATAGTAGCACTAGACAGTATTGCACAATATTCAAGCATGTTCATAAGAATACACAGCAGTATAAAATGGCTTACCTTAGAGTGTGCAATACGGTAGTGACACACGAGGGCTAATTCAAGGCCCCCACCTAGAGCCACCCCCTCTATGGCAGCAACCACAGGCTTCTCTCCGGCCTCTATGGAATCCAACAAGGGTAGCAGAGGAGGTCCTCTCAAAGGCCCAGCAAACTCACGGATGTCTGCACCTGGAGAAAAATGCATTATCATCAGATGGTCTTCTTACATAACTCAGCCAGGACAAGCAAATCAGTGAAAGACTTGTGCAACATACATGTGCCAGCATGTTTAACCTGAAAATGAAATTTTTATTTTTGGTGGATAGATGTGTCTGTGATAGGCTGTTCTAACCTCCACAGAATCTTCCATTCTCTCCACAGATCACCACGGCCGTGACCTTCGGGTCACTCAGGGCTCGATCCATGGTCTTTGCAATGCCATGACGCACAGCAGAACTAAGGAAAAAGACATGTTAAAATCACTATTGTTCATAATGGGTTTGTATTAATGCACTTGAAAACACTTTCAAGGACACTTTGTCTTTCTCTATGTGGAAGATCATGTGTAACAATCTTATTTATAAAAGTTTTTTTAACTATGCAAAAGTTAGAATTATAACAATGTATAACAATAGGAAAATATATGCAAGATTCTGCTATAGTTTGGTCTTGCTTTAATAAGAACAAATACAAATGGATTGGAAAATATGTAAATGCATTATTTTTTAGCAGGTTTTTTTTACTCACCTTAAGGAATTGACTGGTGGGTTGGTAAGAGTGATCAGAGCAACTGATCGTTTAACAAGTTCATATCGGGCCATTGTGTTGAGCTGAACTGTCACTGTGTTGTGTTGTGTTTTGAGTTGAAAGAACTGCAGGACTTTGGACTTGTGACCAGCAAACTCAGTGCGTCAATGCAATCACACCCTCTCTGATTTATTATTTGACACGTCACATCTCCTAAGTGTCTTCCGTGACGATTAATTTTTAATGCGATAAACACATATTTGCTTTGCTAAAAAAGCTAACGTTATTCAAATCACATCTGGTCACCGCAGGAGTCGGCTTCCATTCCCGGAAGTGAATTTACAAATTCTACTATGGTCAGGACTGACTGAATATTAATCAAACGTCACATAAGGTTTTGACACACATTTTAAAGATTATTTTTAGACTTTAAATAATACGGTATATATATATATATATATATATATATATATATATATATATATATATATATATATATATATTGTATAAAAGCTTTTAGAACATAAAATATTCAACTTTTCATGGATTTGTTTTTTTACACTCATCTTTTTATTTTCAAAAAGGCAATGTTGATATTGTCTGCTTGGTAAACTGGCGAATAAACGAATTCCACTAAAGCGAGGGAATAACTTATGAATATTAAATAGATCGCGTGGCCATTCTATGGGCCATGCACGCCAAGAAGGTAACCAATCAGCGGTCACATATACTAATTAGAATTCATAAGTATGGCCTTCGCCTACGTAGGATTCGTACTTTCGCTCCCGGAAGTTATTCGCAGTGAATGGACATGCAGTATCTGCGCTCTCTATAGTAACTTCGTCATGCGCTCGCTTGCTGGACTGATCGCTGTAATAGTAACGGCTACATTTTACCTTTATCTACTCTCCTCTTATCTCCCCCCTGGACCCCAGCTGCCTAAACAGGACCATGAAGGAGACACGGCAAAATCTAATGGTGAAGACAACCAAAATGAAATGGAGACTGCAGCCTCCAGGTGTGCCTCTCTAATGCGTGTGTGATGATAACTAAGTTACGGTCTGTCTTTCGCTATATAGTTCTCGCAGCTGGAATTGTGATTTACCAGTCTTATGCAAAACATTCTGAGGATGTAGCATAGTGTAGAAAACGTAAGCATTATTAAAATGGATGCTCTATCTTGTCCTTGTCTCCAGCTGTCATTTGTCCTTCTGCAGTGAAATTAGATCTGTTCTGTTGCTGCCATGTTCATAATGCAGAAGTTTACTCGTGACCATCCACTACTATTATCTGCAATACTCTACCTACTCATATTAGTATATTAATTTATCTATTATCTTGACATATTTCTAGGATAGCCTTAATTAGCTTTTTCCTATCTTTATGTTTTTATTTGTATCTTAATGTTTTTTTCTAGGCAAGCATAGAGAATCTTGCTTTAAAAGCACTTTATAAAACAACATGTTTTTATTATGTCTCTTAGGTGTTTTAAACCACTGTTATTTTCATCTTCATTTGTATTTTATAAGTGAGGAATAAAATCTCAGTTAGCTACTAGCGTAACCTCGGTTCACTGAGATGATAGGAAGGAGCATTGCTTTAGTTGCTAACTTTATTGGGAAACTCCATTTCTCCAAAATACTCAAGCTTGGGGCACGTTCAAGCTCAAACGTTTTGCGCAATTTTGGTACCGTTTCCGGGTTGAACGACATGTTTCATGGAAACGGTGTGCAACAGGGTTTGAGATACTTTTCTCTTGTTTGGTCGGTGTGTCAAAAATGTCTGCTCAATCAGCAGCAACATGTATAAACCATGAGGTATTAAAGAGACAGTTCGCACAATGGGTGCAATAAAGTCGTTTACAAATGTGTCCACTGTAGCTTGGTATACGCAACAATTAGAAGACATGTTTGTCGTAAGAGTTTTATAGTAAAAATATAGCATATCAACAGTGATCAGCAATAATGATGAGCCTGATACTCACAATAAAAATAATAAGGTCATATAGATCATAACATTCTCGGAGGTAAGAACTGGATTATCCTTCACCTGAAATGTTTGTCTTTTCATCCTGAAATGCGAGGCAAATGTTGGAGCTCAATTATTAGGAACCACAGTTTCCACAAATCCCTTCTCTCGATTGGGATGTTCTCTTTTATTCTGGAAGGCAAGGGCAGTGACTGTAACATTGAGCGTTTTTGCAGTATTAAACACGTATTTATACCGATTTCACCAGGCTCCGAAATGTCTTCAAAAATAACACAAATAATGGCCTTCTCAGCTGCCATAGTTGCAACTCTTGTGTCATCAGAACAGGGTGTTCAACGCACCACCGTTTCCGTTTAAAAAATGCTTTGCAACTTTTTGTCGTGGCTGAACGCAGACCTGATGTTTCACGTTTGTACACCTGCACGAACAAATGGCATTTCAGCCTGCTAAAATGGGCAGGGCCATTCGCCTGTATAAGCCGGCTAAGAATACCATTTTTCTCAGAATCTTTTGATGACCAGGGCCTGGATGAGAAGTTGTGTTGCATGCTCAGTTAGGAAAGGCCTGATCTTCCTGATGTTGTGCGGTGCAAACATGCATGACTGAGCTGTCTTTGCAATGTGGTCGTTGAAGGTCCTCAAAGATTACTTAAAGATATCTGGTCGACCTTGAAAGGGTAATGATGAACCTAGCTGGATGATGAAATCATCAGGGCAGAGTCTTCCATTGATCACTTCTCCGCATCAGAAGCTGTCAATGACATGGCATCAATGGACTCCAATCTGACTCCACCTCGGAATCCCCAAATAAGATCAAGCCGCTTGCACCAGACAAGGGCGCTGGTCTCTATGGGAGAAGAGCACTGGGGAGTCATCTTGCTGTGGGGAGAGTCGGCATGCGGAACCTGAGCCGGTGTGAGCTCACTCAAACCCACCTGCTCGACCCCTCGACTCCGCTGTTTCTTCCTCCGAGGCTCCTGGGAGGAAGGAAATGGGAGACCACAAAGGGTGGGGCTGCTTTCTTGTAAGAAAGCAATCTGCGAGCTCAGTGAGGTGAGACTCATGCTCTCGCAGTGAGAGCAGGTCGTCTCGGTGAGCGCGGCTTCAGCGTGAGCATGGCCCAGACAAGTGAAGCACTCACTGTGCTCGGCCCAAGGTGTATAGGGCACTCGTGGCGGCGACATTTTGAACTAAATGCTGCTGAAATTGGCTCTTTCAGGCATGAAATTTGCTCTCAAGATTTGCTGGATGGCCGCAGGGGAGCTGCAGAGCTCATCGGCGCTGGTTAATCCGCTTCTTTTCTTCGCAGTCTTCTTCAGAGTCAGGGAGGAGATGATCTTCGCACTGAAGGAAAAAGAATCTAAGGAAAAAAGCATACCGAGCCGGCTTATATAGGTGAATGGCCCCGCCTGTTTTGCCAGGCTGAAATGCCATTTGTTCGTGCAGGTGCACAAACGTGATTCAATCAGGCTTCAGTATTTCGGAGAAACTGAGTTTCCCATAGCGTTATCAACTAACCATATCAAAAGGGAACCACATAAGATTTATTTTCCTCATCTCTGATGAGGTGGTTCAAAGGGTTAGTTCACCCAAAAATTTTATTTCTGTCATTAATTACTCACCCTCATTAATTACTCACCCCTTCGTTCATCTTCGAAACACAAATTAAGATGCTTTTTATGAAATCCGAGAGATTTCTGAACCAGCCATAGGCAGCAACGTCATTGCAACTTTCAAGGCCCAAAAAGGTAGTAAAGATATTGTTACAATAGTTGGTGTAGTAAACACAGTGCAGTGCTTCCATGTTCTACATCAGAATGCCGGCTCACCATCGTGGTGCTCATGTGAACAGCATCGGTCAATAATGAGCCGGCGTTCTCACTTAGAACCCAGAAGCGCCTTTACTACGTCAACAGCGTTGGAGACGGACACAGAAGAGAAGAAATTGTTGAATAAAGTTGTTATTTTTGTTTGTTTTTTGCACCCAAAAAGTATACTTGTCGCTTCCTAACATTAAGGTTGAACCACTGTAGTCACATGGACTATTTTAATGTCTTTACTACCTTTCTGGGCCTTGAAAGTTGCAATGACGTTGCTGCCTATGGCTGGTTCAGAAACCTCTCGGATTTCATCAAAAATATCTTAATTTGTGTTCAAAAGAGGAACGAAGGTCTTACGAGTTTGGAACGACATGAGGGTGAGTAATTAATGACAGAAATTAAATTTTTGGGTTAACCCACCCTTTAAGGCTGGTAACCAATGGGCTGTAAACATTGCAAAAGGGTGATACTTGAGGTATTACCATAATGTATTTGAACCAGATAGATAATGTCCAGATACCGTCCTTGCAAGTTTACCAATGTCATGTGACTTTATTTTGGTCCAGGTTGAAGTTCCCATCAGACCTGGATGAGCTGAAAGAGATGGCAGAGCTGTTGCAGTTTTATAAAACAGAGTACACAGGATATGTGCTGTTACTCTTTTGCAGTGCCTACCTCTACAAGCAGGCTTTTGCCATACCCGGTTCCTCTTTTTTAGTAAGAGCACAACTTTTACACAGAAACATTATACTTAAATGTACACATTTATCCTTCCTATTGTGTTGCGGGTGAATTTAACCCGCATTCTGGTTAAACTGTTAATTTCTTCTGGAAATGTTTCTTATTCAGGGTTATGAATGTGCATGCAAAGTTTCTACACAGATATGTTTTGGAAAGGCTGTACACATTTTGGTGACAACGATCAAAATGACCCTCACTGGTTTCGATGTGATCTGTCAAAAATCAACACCAAGTCAGGCAAAAAACAGAAAATGTTTAATGTAGCTTGCCAAAGACTTAAAGGGATAGTTCACTTCAAAATGAAAATTCTGTCATCATATACTCATCCTCAAGTATTTTTTTTTCCTACTATGGAAGTCAATGGGTCCAGTTAACTGTTTGGTTACTGACATTCTTCAAAATATCTTCCTTTGTGTTCAGCAGAAGAAAGAAATTCATACAGGTTTGAAACAACTTGAGGGAGTATATGATGACATAATTTTCATTTTGAAGTGAACTATCCTTTTAAATATGAAATACATGAGAATTTAAGACTGAGAATTATAAGAATTTAAAAAGTTAAATCGAAGACTCATCTTCTGAATCATCCAAGAATTCTGTTTCTTCATCTACTTGAGTTTTCAGTCACAATTGTAAGTTTTTTGGATCTTAAATACCAGACTGTTGCATCACTAACAGGAAGTTTGAGAAACCCATTTTACCCTGAAAAGGCTCTGAGAACCAGACATAACAAAAAGGCAGAGGCTATTTATTTACACCAAGTACAAATAGCAATAAATTTCATTTACAAAAAGTACAAATAATGTTAGATGCTATTTATGCTTAGTTGTAATAATTTTCACCTCCAGCAAATAGTCACTGCAAGTAGTCATAACTAAAAAAAAAAAAAAAAAAAGGAAATGTTTTTTGTTTTTGTTTGTTGTCTCTGACAAGCTGCAGTTAGTGTTTTAGTACTGGCTATTTTTAGCGAATTGCATGGGGTTAATTCGACCACCCACACAAACGGTGTTCCCATATTATAGACACAGCTGGAGGGTTATGTACAACATGCATCTTCATTCATATCCTTTGATCTTGACTTCTACATTAAATGACTTTATCCCCCCTAGAACATCTTGGCTGGGGCCTTGTTTGGGACGTGGTATGGTCTTCTTCTCGCCTGTGTCCTAACCACAGTAGGTGCCACTCTCTGTTTCCTCCTGTCCCAGGCGTTTGGCAAGGAGCACATTGTGAGACTGTTCCCTGACAAGGTGGCCATGCTGCAGAAGAAGGTACATCTAGTTATCTTGTCTTCTAAGAAGTCTAAAAGCACAAAGTATGCTAATCATCACAGAATTTCATTTATAACTTTCCTAATTTTGACTTTTTTTCCAGGTCGAGGAAAACCGAAGTAGCTTGTTCTTTTTCCTACTGTTCCTGAGATTCTTTCCCATGAGTCCAAACTGGTTCTTAAACATGACCTCCCCAATACTTAATATTCCTGTCACTCTTTTCTTCATGGCTGTCTTCATTGGTAAACACCGTTAAATGAAGGAACATTTCCCTTAATATTTGTAGCATTTATTTTAAACCTGTTTGTTTGTCTTTTAGGCCTGATGCCATACAACTTCATCTGCGTCCAGACGGGATCAATGCTGTCTCATATCTCCTCTCTGGATGACTTGTTCTCCTGGAGTGTGTTGTTGAAACTGCTCCTTATTGCTTGTGTCGCCCTGCTGCCTGGAGCTCTGATCCGTAAATACAGCACTCGGCATCTCCACCTGGACGGCCTTGAAACAAATGGACTCAGGCAAGACAAGAAGAACAGATAAGGGACAGTGTGGGGTCATTGATCTGATCCTACTTAGTCACTTTGTGGGTGGCTACTATTTGGATTCAAAGTGTGTTTTTGTTTTTTGTGGCCTAACGTGTTTAAAAATGGAAGTGCAATTTTTACATTCTTTACTTGGAAAGCTGCTGGGTCTTTTTTGGCACAGGTTGTAATGTATGTGAGAGAAAGGACCTTTTTGGTGCCATTTTGGGATGTTCTGTTGGGTCTATTTGTAATTATGTTGGTCTTGAATTCTGAATCCTGCTTTCATGTACAAATCAGAGTTTAAAATACATACTGTGCATTTTTTCCGATTCAGCTGTCCATAACAGTCTTTTGTGGTTTAAAAGACATGGAATCTTGCAGCAAAGTATATGTATTTGAGGTATTTAATGCAGACTGTAATATGGATGTTGTGGATTTTGGTTGTGGGTTACTGTTGTGGAAATTTCACATTAGCCTTAAAAAGTGAACTACCTCACTGAGTGGGAAAATATTTAATATTTTAACATGTTGGAGGAGTACTTGTAAATATTAAAATGGAACATCAAGCTGTAAATATTCACTATGGGTTTTTTTCTACATGGAAAGGCAGACATTCAATATGTGAAGTCATGTCCGGTCACCGAAAGCCCATCCAACTTGGTAGTGTTTAAATGGTATGTGCCAGTGCCATTAGCAACGCTGTGAGCAGAATGCAGTATTTTCATTTACCAAACACCCCATTCATGTGAGTAAAGCTGTTTATGATGTGATCAATCATCTGACAATAAACTCATTCCATTAGCTTCTGTCAGAACATTTAATCACACCTACATGGTGTTCATTTCAAGCATTCATATGCACAATTGAGGAATATTATGAATGCTGCTTTAAAATTAAAGGGAAAGTTTCATCACATTATGATTAGTGCATTTGTTTGACCCGATCATTCATACCCAATAACAGGGGTGTCCAATCCTGCTCCAGCAGGGCCATTGTCCTGCAAAATTAAGCTCCGGCCTGCCCCAACACCCTTGCCTGGAATTTTCTAGGGCTGTGTCCGAAACAGTCACCCCTTATATAGTGCTAGGGCTACATGATTTTGGGAAAGAGTCTCGCAAGTTCAGTTGTGTCTAATTAAGACTGAAGCTAAACTCGGCAGGACAGTGGCCCTCCAAGAGAAGGACTGTGGCCCTCCAAGAGAAGGACTGTACACCCCTGGCCAACAAAGATGTCAACAAGATGAGCTTCGGACACAGTCTTTTTATAAAGAATTTTATTGCTCAAATCCATGTTGATCAGCAGTACAGTTCGCCTACATTTCAAAACAACATGGTTGTTAGCAAAGAAAAAAAAAAAGATCAGCTCTCAGTCCCCCCCACTACCCACAATCCAGCTAAGGGGAGATGGCAGGCAGTGCAGCAAGCCCAGTCTCTGTTTCACATCGCTCGAAATGAACTAACGTGAGAAGCCAGAGAGCTGCGTAGGAATGGATCTGCCGTGGAAAAGGCGCAAAGAAGTTTTCACAGCCTATGATTTGCGTTGATTTCTCATGCATCGCTCTTATTTCCTAACCTGGCCCTAGCCAGATGAATTTCGCTCCGCCTAGCTTCACTCACATCCATCTGGAACCTCTTCCATTGAGAGTGATTTCTCCAACCAACTTTATGGTTTAGCCAATCAGGACGCAGGGCGGGAGTTTCATAGATGTGACGTAGTGGAGAAGCGACCGTGAGACTGTTTTGATTCAGACAACAATGGCGGCTCGCATCGAGGAAACAAGCGTTAACATTGATGCTGTTAACATTGATTTCATCCGTGTTGTCCAATCTACCTAATATTGTTTCATTAAAAGAACAACAGAGAACGGCTCTTAAGGCTTTTGTTGGTGGAAACGATGTTAATAGATCAGTGCCTTCTCCCGACCGGATTCTTCAGCGTCACGGGTTGGCTTCGGTGTGAGTGGTTGAAATAGCACGTCGATAAAGATGACAGACAAGTGGCTTATCCAATCATATGCAAGGATTTTTGATAAGGCCCCGCCTTCTGAAACGCCATTTCAATGGATCGGTTCCAGATGGATGTGAGTGAAGCTAGGCAGAGCGAAATTCATCTGGCAAGGGCCAGGTTACTGATTTCCTGCTCTCATCCCAAGTTGAAACGCAACTAGAACGGTGTCTTCATACTGTGAGCAACAATAGCTGTGTTTGTGGTCTATTCTAATATCATTCGAATATCAAAAAAACATAGAACAGCACCTACTTTAAGTCTCCGTTCACCCTAAAAGGGTGGCCCAAAAGCAAACAATGAAATTTCATGCCAAGACTACAAACAACAGCTACCCCTAAACTGACCTGATTCGTTCGACTTATATTAGCTATGACTTATGGCCTAAAGATAATGCAAAGACCTCAATTATCCCTAGCGTTATGTTACAGGATATCGTAATGGATAGCGAGACAGCGTGATTACCAGATTACAGAGACAATAAAACAGTGTGATGTTAGTTAATGCATGTATCGACTAATGCTTCTGTAAAGTTAAATACTGATGCACGACTGATGCACACCTGACAAAGCTTTGAAATACAAACTCTTTAAGAAAAGTTAAGAACCACTGTAGAACGTTAGATAGGTGTCTATCGACAGCGTGGCGCGTTACAGTTACAATAACACTTAAAAGTGAACCGAGTTACCATACTGCTACACAACCTGAACTCCATCAACAAGCAAACACCTGAGATTAAGCAGAAAGTCAATAATTCAGGGGAAATAACGCCCTCATTTGGCTACGAGCCTTCACAGAGACAAGAACCGTAAGAACCATATTCAGCTTCTAGAGTGAAAACTTGTTAGAAGTCACTTGATCTAACAGAAGCTTCAAGCCTTTACTAACAGAAACAGCATCGGCACCTGGCATCTGTGCTACTCTTTGTGGATAAGTGTGGACAAGTTGCTTCAGTGGGTAAAAAACAATTTACACAAGTCTATGGTAACACACCCCTACCAAAAACGGTTACTAAAACTATGGAGCGGGACTTTTTGCAGTTCAGTCCACAGACAAATCGTGTGAATTACTGTATGAATGCAAACCAGCTTTGCAAGTACACATACTTGGACCTGACCGCGTACTGTCTTCCATCTCGATTTGACATAGGCCTCGGTCTTTGAGAGATAACACGCATGTACAGTAGACCAGCAACAGATCCAGAGCAGATCTGAGCCGAGGCGACAAAAATACCTGCATTTGTGATTTCTGTGTGATTACAATAAACAAACAGTGACTCTGTGATTATTATATCAAGTTAACAGAGCTGTTTTTTTTTTAATTTTTTTTTTTTATTCATATCAAACCAGGTTTGTTTTGTGAAAGGCCCTGATAGAAAAACCTCAATTAAAAAAATTGGTCTTACTGGAATTCCTGAATTTTGACTCATTTTTATAAAAATGAAAGCTGGCTTACGCTTCAGACAACGTAACTACTCCTGGAGAATGCTTTGAATTAAGCCATTCTACTTGATATTCATAGTCTATTTCAACCATTTGTCATTGATCTAGACATCAGTACACAGTTTCCACATTTGGAACCCCTTTCGGGCAGTTAAGTACACCTCAGTTACACATTCTATAAATCACGAGGTTGTGATCGGTAAAAGAACGCAGTAAATTCAGATACAGTTTTGAAAGCTTTAAGATCCATTCTTCTTTGTCAGATGGACCAGGAGACTTCAGACTAGTCTTTTTCTTGAACTTTTATGATTATCATAAAAAAGAAAACGTTCAAAACTTTCAGTTTACAAGGCATACAAAACGGGAGAAAAAAAAAGGGAAATTAAGATTGGACTGAGGTACCCTGACGCCTGAGGTAGATCACAATACTGACATGCGCGCCAATCACATTCTGATCAAAGTGTTGCGTTGATTCATTACTGTTCTTACTGTTAGTATACTAACAATATTCATAGTCTACTTCCAAGAAAATAAACACTTCCCTTCAGAATAACATGGCAGTGTTCCACCCCCCAAAAAAGAGACCTTTTCTGTTTGTTTCTGATTAATAGCTCTCGTCACAAAATAGGAAAAAAATAGATTCATAAATATTTCTCTCTCTTTATATATATATCTATATACACACACGCATACACACAAATGAAAGCTGTGCGTATTGGCATAAACCTTGCGTCTGGAAGATGAGGCTTAGCTCTCATTGAGCGAGGGAGCTGTCTGTGATGTCATAGACCGGTGACGTTAAGGCCACGAGCTTCCATGGTCAAAAAGAAGAAGAAAATAAAGCACAAAGTGATATCCATCCTGTCGATCAGTTTCCCAAAAACAGCCCGAGTATTGTAAAAAAAAAAAAAAAAAAAAAAAGATAAAATCAAAACAAAAACAATATCGCTGACCAACCAGCTCACTGAACATGACAGGGAGGTGCTCTCTCTAAAAGGCTGCTTATTGTACATTCACAGCTGTCATGCCGTTTAGAAAGCTCCCTGACAAAGAGATTTAAAGCCAAACGCGGTTGTGTGTGTGTACCACAGGTGCCTCCTTGTCCCACAATCAACCTGACCCTCCATCCCATTTTGAGTCACCCATCTTTTCGTTTGCTTTCAGCATAGATTAAGGCAGAGTTCTTGGTGCACATTCGATTTCGCTTCTGCCCAATGCCAAGCCAGTAAAGGTGCGCTTTCTTTCAGGCGCTGGTGCTTGCTTCAGATTTTTTTCATACCCCCTAAAGCAAACAAGGGGTGGTGACACCTAATCCACATCTACTACATACCTACTTCGTCTCGTAATGACTGCCGCCACAAGAGTGTGGCAGCGATGAAATAACAAAATGCAGAGGCTGCAAAAACACTGGCGTTACAATAAAAATGGAGTGTAAGAGCTGGATAGAAATAAGAATAAACGAAAAACGGAAAGCTAAAAAATGAAAGATATGCACAGTAAGAAATGTTTCAATGTTTGCATCCGTTGGCACACACAGGCTTAAGTAACAAGGATCCGTTGCGTTGGATGAATTGTCCTGAAATGCAAACAGGCTAAGATATGAGTAAACGTTCTGTCCTTTACATTTCCCAACATTCTCATCCCATCATCGAAGAAATTAGAATAACATAATGTTATGCTTACGCAACCGCGTATGTGCACTAATCGCCCGCTTGCTGGCTTGTGCAAAACAAGAAGAATCATACTTCTGCTTCAAAAACAGTATATTTGTTCTAGTGTACTGGTGACAATACTGCTGAGGATCTCTGAAATCGCAATCTGAGCATAAAAAAAAATAAAATAAAAAATTCGGTCGCCAACTGCTAGTGCACACCCACCCTTACCTAACCAAAAAAAAACAGCAACACAACTCAGTCAAAATGCATCAGTGTACACGTGTTAATGGAGCGTCTTATCTTTGTTAACCCTATGTTAAGCCTAAATTAAGAAGTTTCTAAAGAAATTGTTACTTGGGGCGACCGTGATGTGTCCCGTCCTGATAGCAGACGCCCCATACCTATTCGTCTCCCAGTCAGGGTGTGTTTGAACAATAAAAGGAACGCTTGTCTTCCTTGCACTTCCTTCCTTCCTCCCCTCCCTCCCCAAGCTGGCAGTGCACTCAGAGCCCCATCTGCCAGTGGCTCCTTCATCTCCCCTAGAAAGAAGTTCTTTGGTTTTGATCCCGCGGCTGCTGGTCTGCCCGGCCGGTCCCCTGCATCCGGTCTGGTCTGATTCCAGTTGGGAGGGCTACATTCATTGGCAGGTGCCCGCTGGGGCTGCCCTGATGGTCACTTGGAGCGCTGTGTCACGGGGGTGCCTTGCTGGTGCTTCTGTTCCTGTTGTTTCACCTGCTGGATGATCTCCCTGATTTTCCTCTGTGCAGTCTGTGGGACCAGAAGAGAGCACGTTTATTGTGCTAAATGTTTGGTTCCACTTCGGTTTCAATAGGAGAGAGGCGACTGCTTGAAGGTGGCACCATAAGACATCATGATTTCATGTTTTTGTCATTGACCAATAAGAGGTGATTTTATTTACACCCAATTCAACAGCATTTAGCTTTTACATGGTCAAGGAACAAAATTAAGTAAAATACACTATAATTCTAAAGTTTGGGGTCGGTAAGATTTTTTCTGAAGTCTCTTCTGATCACCAAAACTTGCATTTATTTGATCAAAAATACAGTAAAAACAGTATATTTATATAAACTGTTATCTATTTTAATATATTTTAAAATGTAATATATTCCTGAGATGGCAAAGCTGAATTTTCAGCATCATTACTCCAGTCTTCAGTGTCACATGATCCTTCAGAAATGATCATAATATGCTGATCTGCTGCTCAAGAAACATTTCTTATTATTATCAATGATGAAAACAGTTGTGCAGATTAATATTTTTATGGAAACTGAGATTTAAAAAAATGCAGGACTCTTTTATGAATATAAAGAAGCCTTTATTTTAAATAAAAATGTTTGTAATAATTAAAAATGTGTTTACTCTGACTTTTAATAAATTTAATCTGTCCTTGATGAATAAAAGTATTATTATTATTATTATTTTTAAATCTTTCTAACCCCAAACTTTTGAATGTTAGTGTATAACACTTGACGTTGCAGAATTCAATTCAATTTTGAAATGAAATGTTGTGCACAGTTAAGGTGAGGATTATTTTGGACCAATGAGTGTAGATGGGGCCACCCAGCTTGAAAAAATAAAGCCATTCATCCATGTTTCTTTAAGCAGTCCTGTACTGCACGGATATATTTGAATACAGATAAATCTCTATTGATTGACACAGTCATATCGTTCAGCCCTACTCTGCGCCTCCCCAGACATGCTCTCACACCCCACACTTTGAAAACCCTTGGAATAGAGCATAGTTTTCAGAACTGTTTTCAGATTTAAGATTCATTACTAAAGCAGTACATACTAGAGCTGTAAATTTCAGCCCTTAAGAACAAAACAACACAAGGTTTCTGTGAAATATCATGTATAATTTACCTGGTTGGCAAAGAAATGCCCACTGATTTTGACAAAGACCTCATCGTTCTCGTCTGGCGTTTGGTCCCGTGGCACTATGACCTCTGCACTGGTTAGGTTCTGCAGCTCGTTAACCTGAAAGAGGTTCAGAGAAACAAGCTGATGACATCACTACCTAACAGTCATAATGCCAGTTGGGTCAAAGTGTGCCAATGTTATGTGTCAATCAGATTTCTAAAAGAACAAGCAGCACATATCCAGTTGCTCATAGGTACATGACATACATCAATACCAATCTGCTGTTAAAGCCTTGCCTTGGGTACCAAATGCAACGTCTATCTACTCTACAAATGATGCCCCGGTGGCTGGAGCCCCCATGAATAGAGACAAATATTTACTAGAAGCAAAACGTACAGTTCCTGAAACACATAACCCTGACTGAAACAGGTCACAGAGATTTGGATCAGCCTGCTCTCTTCAAAGCCTTAGACCGAAACGTAACAGTTATATAACATAATAACCAAACTTAATAAAGTTTTTTTTTCCCTTTAAATAGCTTGAAAAAAGCTTTCATATACTTTTTCAGTCCTTTAGCACAGTAAATTACATGGAAAAATGAGTCAGGTACATATAAAACGATTATCAAAAACAATAACATATTCATATGAGCTCTCTCAGGAACTATTCACACCACATTAACTTTGATTAATCAACAATGTTCCCATTCTTTAACAGTGAACATCTAATTGTTTTTGGGAAAGCTATTTGAAATGTTTTATGGATTCTCAGAATCACTATTTACTACTGCAAACACATTTTGACTCATTCATTTATAATGGTGCATAATGAAAGGAATATTGACTAGTGATGAGCAAACAGCTGTGATGGTATGTGCTACACAACAACTTGTTTGAAACGGTGTAAACATATTTTATTGTGAATCAGAATCCTATATTAAGTCTGGCATATTACTCAAGCTCAGAGTGAACAGGGATTTCAGACTGAAATAAATAAATAAACCCTATTGAACACTCTGTTTCCCCCATTGTAATTTTTTTTAATAAAATTAAATGGAGCCAGGACGACTGAGGACAAAGGTGCAGCCGGCGGGAAGGCAGAGCCCAGTGGAGCCAAAGGGATGTAGGGCAGAGGTGCAACCAAGAGCCAGGAACCCTGCGGTGGAGCCAGGGTGACGTCTGACCAAGGTGAAGATCCATACCTTCAGGTTCCACAAGCATTCCCTCTGAGATAAGCTTTGCATGCAGTCTCGCGCACCTGGTCAGACGTGTCGTGGGGCTCAGGCTCCGGGGCGGAATAAGACTCAGTAGGGCTCACTGGCACGGCTCAGACTGGCGATGTAAAAAACGCAGAGCAAGCAGTCTGGATAGTGATTTAGGCATGCCAACTCCAAAAAGTCCCTGGTGTGTGACTCCACCCACAAATGGCAAACTGCAGGTAAGTCCATGGTGATAGGAGGTAGGGGGAAAATAGGGTGTAAAAAAACCCCGCCGAAATAAACTATCGATTCTGCACGAAGATAAAGGAGATCAGCAAAAACGGTCTTTAATCCAATAGATTCAAGAGGCAAGGAAACTCAGCAAACAATAGTACAACCACGTAAAACACTGACGAGACAGGACCAAGAACTGAACAAAACGGAGTATTTATCTCAGACTAAACGAGGGAACACCAGGGGCCGGTTGCATAAACGGTTAAGACTAGTCATACAACTTAGTCATCACATTTTTTTTCTTTAAAGGGGTCATATAATGGTACATGCACTTTTACAAGTTGATTGTACTGAAATGTGTGTTGGCAGTGCCTGTACACAACCATCATAAAATTATAAAAATCCATCCAGTGTTTTTGTTTTAATATTCTTATATGTTTTCCCCTGCCTCAAATTGAGCCGTTCGATTTTGTGACGTCACACGCTCGGAAGCCCCTCCCACGATTGTTGATTGACAGCATCGTTTCAACACAGACCCGCCCTCGCTTGTGAGCGAGCTGTCAATCATAGTCTGCGCGGACCGGCGCGGTCATTGTTGATATGCTGGAGCACTGTCTATGAGCAGAATGGCGTCTAAGCGATTGTGGTGTTCTGTTCTTGGGTGCAATAACGAACACAGCAGTCATTTTAATGTTCCTAAATCTGAACCGCTGAAGACGCAGTGGCTGAGTTTGTTTTCGAAGGGAATATTCCCCACGATCAACGTCAATGCTTTCATGTTTGCGCGAATCATTTCTCAGCAGACTGCTTTATAAACGAGGGTCAGTATAAAGCTGGTTTTGCTAAGAAGCTGCTCATGAAAAAAGGATCGGTACCAGCTATTCGTGTTCCTGCTGAACCTCTAGAACAGGGGTCGGCAACAGGCGATAATATCTGGCCCGCGCCGCAGCCTGAAAAGTTCTGAAAGACATTCAAAAGAGTCTGTGGATCGCTAGACACACCTCTAAAATAACCGTCATGAAATGTCTAATATTATATTAAATGCGGCTCTATAGCACGCGTTGTGTTTATCGTGCAATTTATACACGAAAATGTGTTTTTACGTGCATATGATACGCAGTTTTTCGCGTGCATTAGATACGCACTTTATTGCGTGTAATACACACGCATCCCACACCACTAATCCTACCCAACGTATAATACACACGCACCAGACACCACTACTAAACCTACCCATGCGTATCATATGCACGTAAAAACTCTTTTTCGCGTATAAATTGCACGATAGACACAATGCGTGCTATAGAGACGCATTTAGTGTGATCGGGTTGTCGTTGCAGATAAGACACACCGGCTTTGCATTTACAAAACTAGGTAGGATGAACGCATAGTTGTCTTTTTATTATTCTTTGTATAACTATTTTCGCTGTCAACTTCCCTTTTTAGACTCTTTGATAGTGCCATTTTCTCTCACCAGCTTAAATGTTAACACGACGTAATAGCGTAAAAAAAGTAGCTATGCAGTTTAGTAGGCTATGCGAGGATGCCAAGGAATAATTCTAAGTTTAAAAGTAGTCTACGTCAAATAATTATTACAATAAGTTAGACTCCATTGTGTAACAAGCAAATTAAAATGATACACATTTATTCACAATATGGAAAGAGGAAATAAAACATAGTTCGTTAAGAGCATGACTCAAAAATGCCATTAATGGGCTTATTCAAGTCCTCTTTTATTTTTTTAGTTATTTTTATCCATTCCGCATCTCCCACATGTGTGTTTTAGCAAGGCAGGATGTGTTGCAAGATGCCGCAATATATCGGGAGACATGTGGGTCAGACATGATTTTGACCACTTCATTAAGTTTTGTTTTGTAGAAAGCCTATCTAAAAATTTAATTTCGTTTTGTATCATTTGTATCTTATTTTTAATCAATGTTTTATCAACCAATTGCTTGTATTTAATAAAAGCAAATATAGCAGACAATATAATCGGACATGGAGGCGCCGGCGAGATTGCATTGCTCGTGAACTGGAGCTCGTCTCATAAATTAACCGAAACTCAGCGTTTAAGCTGCCTCACAGACACGAAAATATATAGAAAGCTTAAAAATGTCTAATTTTAAACGAAACAATTCAAAACGAAAAGAAACCGACTACTCTCTGCTTATGTAATCCATATGAAATGTGCATTTCTCTCTATAGGCGCGTTAACTACTGCGGTCACTATTGCAGCCGACTGAGCCGACACAAGACACTTATAAACAATTAAAATGTCTCCTTGCTATATTTGAAACATTCATAATCATTACTTTTGCCGGTTCCTTGTGACAGCTTTTGCGTTATTGGCAGCGTCACCCTCTGGTTACATGAACACGGCGTCACCACCGAATCAGCACCGAAAACATGGGAATTTTTTTAGACAATAATCCCACGACCTATTCGATATTCTATAATTAAATCAACAAATCGAATATTCGAAAATCGTGACTCATCCCTACTGCTTTATTAATGTATCCAGTATAAAACCCGGACACTGCCACACTGACTGTCCTACTACAGTATTTAACACAGAGTAACAGCTCACTAACATTCTAGTTGCATTTTTCATCAATTAATTTCTTAAATTATCCATTGACTATGTTCTGGCCCGCCATCTAGTGTAAACAATTTTTTTTGGCCCGATGCCAACCTTACTTGCCGACCCCTGCTCTAGAACAACTGAAGTGAGTGTAACGTTTTATTAAACTTTATATTAATATTATATTTATATTAATCTTTGCAAATCGGTAGCTGCACGCTTCAAAATGAATGCGTCTAAGGTTTACACTTTGGGGTACATTACGGCATGTTTTCTATGTATGATGTTCTCAATATAATTCATAATCCCACGTTTATACTGAACAACGCGTTATGGTTATTGTGTTATTGTGTTACAAACGGTGTACGCACAGAACAGAGAGGCGGGGTGAGCGAAGCTCATTATCATTTAAAGTCATATGCACTGAAACGGCGTGCTGAAAACAGAGCTGTTTTTGACCAAGTAAAATAAGTGTTTTCTTACAATACTAATGAGAATTTTTAATTAAAGTATATTACAAACTTTTAATTTGGACCCTAAAGAATCATACTAGCTTGTACAAAAATGGCATTATATGACCCCTTTAAGACTGTTCATAACTGTTTCAAGTCAGTTATATAAAAACGTAGATTGGTCTAATTTTATACTAGAAAGTAAGACTGATTGCCCCTTGACTCAACACTTGTTGGTCATACTAGTATTTAAGACACAGTCAACATTAGGGCTATGTTTATGCAACCGGCCCCAGGTGAACAGAATGAAACTGACACAGACTGAGAAACTAGGTCACAGGAAAACAGAACTAAAACACACTGAACAGAACACAATCCTGATACATGAAGGAGTCCTACTATGTTATATATGGCGCATCACTGAAAGTTTCTGATCTTACTTAATACTTTTATATTTCACTGTATTCTCACCGTTTTGCCGCCTTTCCCGATGACCCTCCCAGCTGCTGAAGAGGGCACTTTTATATGTGTCTCCAGCTTCACTTCCTCTTTTGCAGTAAAGAAATTCTCTTCTTTCAGCTTCCCAAATATCCTGCCCTGGGCCTGAAATGCAAAAGCAAAGACACTGTTCATTTTTCAGGGGCATGATAGGGTACAACAGTGCTAAAGGCCTTTACATTTCTTTTCAACCGTCATACACTCACATTTTCAATCATTCATTCATTCCATTGCACCTAGACTGAATGTAACTAACTGTACTGGGCTTTTAAGTGTGTATTATATTCCTTTACCTTAAACTGAGCTTCTGGTGGGCCAGTGATGATGACCATCCTCTGAGTGACGTCAGGACTCTCTGCAGGTGCGATCTGAACATGAACAACAACAGGAACAAGAACAACATACCTTCAACAGATGAGCTCAGAGGAGAGTTCCACCATGAGTGTATTTCTGTACACACGTTTTTGTTCAAGATATGAATACAAGATATGAATCAACACTATTTTCTGAGATAATCAACAACATGCCACAAATGCTGTTGACAGATTAATTTGCTTTAAAGAATATTCCTTTTATTTCTAGAGCAACATCTGAAGTGTGAACCATTCATTCAGCTCTTTCTCTTGAAGTCACATCACACAACCACCAGAGGGATCTTTTCCAAATTATTAGAGGTATAACAGTTTAAATTTATCCATGTTCGGTTTGTATTATGATTCTGTGGTCAAGAATTCAGTTTGGTAAAATATTTGATGTCATTAAACCATAAATGCATAAAATGAAGTAAAATTACATAAAACAATTCACACTATGTGAAAAGTCAGCATTTATTGAAATATTTAGGAAACATCCATAAACAGTTCTGTTGTCAAAGGTTTGAATGATATTAAGAATTACTGTTGATCAAATTAATGCAGCCTTGGTGAGCATAAGATACTTCTTTCAAAAACTTTTTTTTTTTTAAATCTTACCAACCCCAAACATTAGAACGGTAGTGTAATTGTTTACATGCCATTAGACATTAAATGAACCGAGGCACAAACACATACTGAAATATGGGTTGCGGAACCCTACTGATTACCCAGCAACCTACAGGACTGGCTGAATCAACAGTGAGGAGGTTACAGATGATGGGCTCACCCACACTAGGCCTAAATCTTGTTAGATTCAAATCAAGTATCTCAGCAATGGGACACAGAAAACTAGATGGATAATTGTGCTTCGCGTAACAAAAACATACAAGGAACATTCATTTTATACTGATGTGACATGACAGCGGAAGCATTTTAGTAGGCAGGAACTCCTACCTTAATTGAGGCTCCTGCGAATCGTGCCAGTTGTTTAATATGTTGACCCTTCTTGCCAATAATAGCACCGACAGCCTGAGTTGGGATAAAGAGGTAGACAACCTCCTGTTCAGGAGCCTGCAGTGGAGAGGGCAGAAGAAACATGCAAAATATTACACCTCTAATTCAATTTGATGCTGTAAATCAGGGATTCCTCTAAAATCCACCCGAGTATGTGATCCTTTTACAAAAGTGGTTCGTAAAAATGTCCATGTGTCTGTTTACTCCATAGTTACTGAACTGTATCTGATACTGCTCAGTTCAGCACAGGCTGGAGGTTGACCCCTGAAGGTTCACACAGGTTTGAACGAAGGCAAAAACACTCAATTTATCACGAAAGTGAGAACACAAACCACTTATCTGTTTCTAAGGCCCTTTTTACACCTGGTATTAAAATATGTTTTGGTCGATCGGATCACAAGTGGACAACTCTAAATACAGGTGTAAACAGGGTCTAAAACATTTTGAGCTTGTTCACTTTCGACCACTTCCAGAGGTAGTCGAAAAGCATTTGACCGGATTGCTTTCGTAGAGTAAACGCTATTGTGGTCGAATGGGTCGAACAGCCACAAAAGACCACCTACTCTCCCCCTACTGACCTGATGCATAAACATTATGGAAAGAGCACAAGCCAGACAGACAGGATTCAAACTTTGTCGGCTGAAGACCTAACTTTAGTTTGATGACGAAAAACATACCAAGCACAATGTTCTCTCAACATTCCTGATTTCTAACACACACTCACTGCATTCAACATGGTCTTGCGGTTGTCAGTGCAGAAACGAAAACTGCTCTCCGTTTGTTTTTCCGTCATCTCTGGCCGCGTTCAAATATAAATAGTGTGAGCTAATTTCGTCCATTAGATTGAAAGATCTGAAAAAAAAACCCCATATATTTACCCGCCCATAGACCCTCCCCTAGAAGAAATCAGGACAGAAGTGGTGAAAGTGGACAAAAGAGACGGATTAAAACACCAGGTGTAAACGGGAGAGTGTCCCTCGTCTACTTGTGATCCGGTCAACCAAAACGCATCTTAATACCAGGGGCCCTATTTTAACGATCTGAAACGCAAGTATCAAGCGCGAAGCGCACGTAACTTTGTGGGCGGGTCTTGGGCGCTGTTGCTATTTTTCCGGCGAGATAAATGACTCTTGTGCCAGACGCAAGTTTAAAAGGGGTTGGTCTGAAATAGCTTCATTATTCATAGGTGTGGTTTGGGCGTAACGTGAAATAAACCAATCAGAGCATCATCCAACATACCCTTTAAGAACAGATGTGCATGTTGCATGCCGGATTGTTATTATTATGGCGGATTTACCAGGAGCGGTTCACAGCCGAGGAGACCGACGTTCTTGTCAGGGCAGTGAAAGACAGAGAAGTGAGGTTGTATGGGGATGGGAGATTTTTTTTTCCTGGTTCTTGACGGACAAACTACGGTAATTTGTCAGATGTCCTTATATACATATGTGTCTTGCCACTATTGGGCAAACAGGTCTGATCCGTCATTACTACAATTAGCCTGAAAAATTTGGGTAAATGTGTAAGCTAGATTTAGGCCCGCATTTTTTTACATCTTCATGGAGACCACAATGATTTCCCTCATGTGTTAATATTTTTCCTTGTTATAATGTATAATTTGCAAAAATAAAAACTGCTGCATCTGTGTTGATGAGAGAATCAAAGTGTATGCGCGTTGTGCACCCGCTACATTATGGCCAAGCATGCGCGCTTAAAATAGCATTATGAACAACGCGCAACGCGTCACTGACTTTAGACTAGGTTTTTTCTGGTCAGTGGCGGAATTGTTTTCTGGAACTGCAAAATAGCACTAGGGAATGTTTGCGCCGAAACACGCCTCCTTTTTGCGCCGACCCGCCCAGGGAGCGCAAGTTCATTTCCTAGTTTACCGACGTGCGTCTGTGGAGGGAAAAGCCTGCTTTGCGCGGGTGCAAAATAGGAATTATACATGCGTCAGTGTACAAAGTCATTTGCGCCGGGTGCAAGATAGGGCCCCAGGTGTTAACAGGGCCTAAAGGACCTGACCTGTCTGGCACCCCAGTGTGAAACATAGTCTCAGAGATTTTTCATTCATAAGTTAACAGCATAAGCTTGTGGTGCTCAGTACTGTCGGATGGAGAATGAGGTTGTTATTTGGTGAATAACTACCAAGTTATTTATTCAAATGACATGAGACATTGCTGTAGCACTGGATAACAGTAAAGCTGATAACTCTGTCCATTGTTCAATTGGTTCATTAACAGATTTAGTCACTTCATCTTGTGTCGTCAGTTACAGAATCTACTAACACACTGTCAATGGATAGGAAACATTTTCTGTGTTTAAGTATTTTGGAGAATTTTGAGTATATATTGTGTAAAATAGGTGATCATTTAAATCATTTTGGGGACATCATATTTGCCATCATTAAATTGTATTGCACATAAAATACAATATATATCTGCATTTTATTTCAGCATTATATTGGCCACCCCACTCTCTAGATAAGAGTATCAATATATGCAATTATAAAAACAAAATTGGTTGGCAGTATTTTTTTGTGGCTGGAACACTATCCACCAATTATAATTTAGAAGCAGAACTATCTATTTTACGGGACAGTTTCAGTTCCAGTACTCACTGTGTGCTGGTGAGAGACGGCACTAGCAGGCGGAACACCGTACAGCCCACCCAGCTGTGATGAGTGACCCTGGAACGGATGAGATGGGTCAATTTACAAATGGTTTATATCTCAAGAATATTTCACTGGCTCTCATTTATTACACATGTAAATACTGAGAAGAAGTACATAAGTCACTCTTCATAAGTTTTTTTTTGCTCTCAACTTTACATAATTAGACCATGAATTGTCATGCAAACAAACTGGGAAAAAAAAGAACTGCCAACACTCATTCAGAAACCTGAATGATTAATAAACAAAAACAAATTCACCAGCCATACTTTAAAATGATACATGTATAAGTTATATCTTTAAAAAAGACATTGGCCCTTTTAATAGCTGCAACCTACAGTGACCTTCACAGATATTGGCACCCTTGGTAAATATAAGCAAAACTGACTGTGAAAGTTTGTTTTTGCAATTCCTCCTCTTGGTCTTTCATTCAAAATTTTCACAAAAACCTAACCTTTAATTAAAGTCAAATAGTTGAAAGAAAAAAAGTCTTACAATTTTTTTTTCCTGAAATGTATGTATACCACAATTATTGGCACCCCTAACTAATGAGTAAGAATCTAACTGAAGTATATTCCCATTCATATGGTATGTTTTTAAGTTCACCTCAGTGATCAGGAACACTTAAATGATAAGTCATCATGACTTCCTGTTTAACTTGGCTCTAAATATGACGTGACACACAGGTCAAATTCCTAAAGTCATCCATCACTATGGGAAAGACCTGAGAATACAGTAATGATGTGTGACAAAAAGGTTGTTGAGTTGCACAATTCATGAAATTGCTATAACATAATAGTTTAATTGTTATAAGAATACTCAATTTTCACTATCTGGGCAATAATTAAATCTACAATATGTAATTTTGTTTACCGCTAGGGGTCGCTAACCTCTTACAATAACTAAGGTGTAGGTTGATGACGCATAAGCGGAATTATGGAACTTGTCGTCATGCTGATGGATCTAATAATGTTTATGGATGAGTGAATACATTGATGTCTTTAACATAACTGTGGTATGAAGCAGGGCGCGATTGCTAATGAGAGACAGATATCAGCGCTACACACCCCGCGAATATAAAGGAATAAGGACATTTCATTCAACCGAACTACCCGCAAGTGCTGAATTAATACTCACAAAGGTCAGTTTATTAGACGAATGAAACTTGTGAGGTAACGCAGCGCTGTTTCACTTGCTCTACACTATCACACTAAACTGCATTTGAGTGTGGTGAAAGTTATAATGTTATTCTATGTGTTAGTTTGTTGGCTGTATGAGACTAGCAGTAAGCTAGATCAACGTTAAAATAACATTCTGATCATATTCTAACATTTCTTCATGTTGAGCTATATAACATTGATTAGTTTTATGTACATTTGTAAAGTACATGTAAAATGTCTAATAAAGTACATGTAAGAGCAGCGTCTCTATCAAGTCGAAGTTTGTCATGGACGTGGAGCTCTCGGCATCTCGAAAACGCCACACTGATATTGATCCTCGTTTTAGTTCTCCTTTTGTCCCAAAGTCTGCATGCCATGGTCCATAATGTTTGAACGAAACAACAACAGCGTGAGCGTGCCGCTAGACGTAACGCTGTTGTCCACCTCTGTCGCCATAGTTACTTTGGCAGTACGAGCGGAAACGTATCGGTTACCTAACGTAACCTCGGTTCTCTCTAGAAGAGGGAACGAGTATTGCGTAAGTTAGCTTACGGTACGGGAAAGATTCATCTTTTCGAGATATTGAAGCCAAAAAATTATCCTTAATTTTTGTATTCATTGTCAACGCAGTGCAGCAGCTAGCAGACCTAGAGCAGGCTGTCTAGCGTGCTCATTGGCTGCCCTGCGGCAACTGCAGTAGCCTACCGCTGAGCCCGGCGTGATGTCACGTCCTATGATGGACGCTCGCGCCCTCATCGCATCTTAGCCCGCCAGAATGGGCGTGGCTTAGCGTATATAAGGGGGCTCGGAGGCTGTCTCCCTGGTTTTCATCGACTGAAGCGAAAGTCGCTCGTGGCGCGAGCACGGCAGGTTACGCAATACTCGTTCCCTCTTCTAGAGAGAACCGAGGTTACGTTAGGTAACCGATACGTTCTCTTACGAGAGGTTCTCTCGTATTGCGTAAGTTAGCTTACGCTACGGGAACCCTTTGTCAACGCCGTGCGTGCCAAGCATCCACTTCATGAGTCCCAGGGAATCCCGGGGATCCCAGATAAGCGGGGAATAAGGAGGCCAGCAACGCGGGCCGGCACAAGTACATAAGCACTCATAGGGAATACAGAGCGGCGGCGCCGGTCCGTATAAGCATATAGGATATAAACCCAATATAGTGCAGCTCAACCAGGAGAGCTAAGTCAAGTGAGAGTAGCCTGCGCACGATGAGATCTGGACAGAACGTACGTCTCACTTATACTGACAGAAGTTTAGCCTGCAGGGCGGGAACTTCCAGGTTATAGAACCTAACAAAGGTGGACGGGGAGGCCCAGCCCACCGCCACACATATGTCATGAATAGAAATTCCCCTGGACCATGCCCACGACGAGTCCATTCTTCTAGTGGAATGAGCCCTGACACCCAAAGGGCATTGCAGACCTTTTGACGCATAGGCAGCTGCGATAGCGTCCACTATCCATCTGGACAGGTTTTGTTTCGAGGCGGCGAGACCTTTGGTGCGCCCACCAAACGAAACGAAAAGCTGCTCCGAGCACCTGAAAGGGACAGAGCGCGTAATGTAAGCCCTCAGCGCCCTGACCGGGCAGAGGAGATTAACATCATTATCGCTATCGGATGCTGGCAGAGCCGATAGAGAAATGACCTGCGCTCTGAACGGAGTGCCAATCACTTTAGGGACGTAGCCATGTCTAGGTTTGAGGATGACTTTAGAGTCATTCGGTCCGAACTCAAGACACGCAGCGGTGACAGACAGCACGTGTAAATCCCCCACACGTTTGACTGATGATAGAGCAGTCAGAAAAACGGTTTTGAGTGATAGGTACTTTAGATCCACGGAATCTAACGGTTCAAAGGGATATGCTTTCAGGGCCTCGAGGACCAAAGAAAGATCCCACATAGGAACCGACGGGGGGCGCGGGGATTCATCCTCCTAGCTCCTCTAAGGAAGCGGATGACAAGCTCGTTCCTTCCTAGTGATCATCCACGCGTCGACTCTGCGAACGCTGCAACGGCCGCCACATAGACTTTAAGCGTGGAGGGGGACCTCCCCTTATCCAACAGCTCCTGAAGGAAACTAAGCAACCGCGAGACCCCACACGTTCGTGGGTCCAGATTTTTGTCGGTGCACCATTTGGAGAACACAGACCATTTAGATGCGTAAAGCTTTCTAGTAGAGGGAGCTCTAGACTGCGTAATCGTGTTCATCACTCCTTCTGGCAGGATAACGGGTATCCGTTGATCAACCATGCGTGCAGAGACCAGCGCTCTGGATGGGGATGCCAGATCCAGTGTTGGGCAGTAGCGTCGCTACAAGTAGTGACGCTACTAGTTTAACTACATTTCTCAGTAGCGTGGTGGTAGCGTCGCTGTTTTCTGAATCAAATAGCTTTTCAGTAGCGAAGCTCTTTTGTTGATTAAGTAGTGCGGTAGCATCCACACAAGCTACATTTCCCCAAGCATTTCTAAAGCTCAAGCTCAAAACGGAAATACAACTACTAAGTATCACTGATGCATAAAGACGATTTAAAAAGGAATCATGCATGTTCTGCGTGTCTCTGTGAATGAATGGCTCAGATGCGCGGATTCATTTACCACACACACACACACACTGAAGCACGCTCGCGATGTTTTCAGCCTATATGAGGACATTCATGCGTGCCCTTCATCACACAGCCGCTCTGAGAGTCACTTTAGAAGCATTTTAGCTTGATTTGAGAAAAACTATCGTCATATCAAAAAAACACAGAGAGACTCAAAGGTCTACATGGCAACCTGTCAAAATAAAAGGTTGGTTTAACCTTTGAAGAAAGTTTTGCTTAAATCATTAGGCCTACATTTTAAATAAATTGGTCATTACAATTTAAACCATTAAAAAAAAACATTTCATAGTTCCCTTAAAATGTCATTTATTTTAAAATTTTAATACATTAGTATTAAATTGTATACGTTTCATGATTTCAATTAATTACACGTTTTTGATTACTAAAATTTTATTTAACCATTAAAATGGGAGTCCAGAAAAATGAGAACAAAATAAAACTGAATTTGGAATGTGGGGAAAAATAAATTGTATTTTATTTTTAAAAATAAAATTTAAAAAAATAAAAAAATTCATAGGGCTCTACAAACCAGCTTTTTGGTGCATTACCACCACCTTCTGCTCCGTATGGTGTGACATCACGTACCAATATCAATCCTTGGGCTGACACGTGAGAAATGTAGTTAATGGAAAAAGATGCACACGCTCTTGACACCTGGTTTTGTTATAGTTTTATATAGTTATATGGTTTTATATAGTTATGTTATGTTTTAGGTTTTTTTGTGTGCCAAATTGGTTTGGAACAGTTGTTGAATAAACAATTGAACTGACAAATTCTGCCTGTCTATATTTGATTGACAGTTTTATTGATCACTGAGATCACACATTGACTTGGAATGAAGTATAAAAATAAAACATTTTATAAAAAAAAAAAAAAAATAGCTTAGATGAAGTAAACTTTTGCCATATCGCTGTAGCTTACCTTGCTACATTTCCCAGGGTGGTAGCTTCAGTGTAGTGAAGCTACATTTAATGTAGAGTAACTGCTAGCTTAGCTCTATACAATTTTCTAAGTAGCTTGCCCAACACTGGCCAGATCGAGCCACGAGCTTGAGAGAGGAGATCTGTCCTCACCGGAATCGGTCACGGGGCTGTTTGTGACAGCCGCGTCAGCTCCGGGAACCAAGTTTGGTTCTCCCATCGCGGTGCTATAAGGAGCACCGAGTGGAGCGTTTCCCTGATTATCTTGATCACCTGTGGCAACAGTGAGACCGGAGAGAAAGCATACAGCGGGCGGCTGGGCCAGA